TGTGTGTGTGTGTGTGTGTGTGTGTGTGTGTGTTTCTAGATTAATCATCAAATCGTTAAATTTTTTCTGGGAATGTAGAATCATCAGACAGTCAGACAATAGAACTGTCATTGCCATTCTGGGCACTGAGATGCCAAAGAGATGCCAAGATTGAAAATAATAAATAAATATATTAATAATAATAACAATAATAATAAAAAGATTACAAAAAAAGACTAAATTCATGCATTCTGTTTCCATCTATTTTGTAGGTATTAATCGGTTGCTTGGCAACAGCACATATGAGGCAGCATTTCCTCCACATGAGGTAAAATAAGTGAAATTTATTGCCAGTCACAAGACAGTTTTTTTTTGTTTGTTTTTTTTACCTCTATTTCGTTACTGTTGAAGTGTTCGTAGATATATGGAAAACTTTGTTATTGTATTTCCAGGGAAGTTATAAAAGCAGACATCCAGTTAAAACCCATGGAGCTCAAAACCACAGACACCTTCTGTACGAAAGATGGGCGCGCTGGGGGATCTGGTACAAATACCAGCCTCTAGACCTCATACGGTAAGATACACACATACACACACAAAAAAATCTGGACACATCTATTCATATATCTTTTTATATATTTATATATAATATATACCAATATTTGAATATTTACTATGCTGTCTAATACATACTGTACATTTGTGTGTGATTATATATATATATATATATATATGTGTGTGTGTGTGTGTGTGTCTTTAATCTAATTAATTAATCTAATTTTATCACAAATTAATACCAATTTAGCAGTTTTGGCTGAGTCAAATTAAGACAATATTGTGTTACATGAGAAAAGCATTGAATAGACATTACAAAAAGTAGATTTAGAAAGAAATATTTAGATTCAATATTGCATAAAAATATATAATAAATGTGTATTAATGTTTTTTTAAATGAATATTGAAACATTCAATTTAAAAAAAGAAAGAAAGAAACAAACAAACAAAGAAACAAAGAAACAAAGAAATTATACTCTAAATATGAAACTAATACCACCAATAGGTGGCAGCAAGTCACTGTTTTAATGAAGGAGTCATTCAGTTTTTCATTCAACCCATTTGTTCAAATGGCTGAATCATTCAGAAACAAAGCAAGTAACAAAACACAGCTGTGTGTTGATCTGAAAGGCACACATTGCAGTGGCTTTGTTTGGAAATATTTTTGTTTGTGAAACTGAGCAAAACAGACAGTATTGACAATATTGTGTCTAAAATGTTTTTTTTTTTTTTTTAAGTATTGTAAAAATAAATAAATAAATAATCGTTTTCACATTTGCAATCATATTCGGGGAAAAACACCATTATGGCTCATGTGATATTGCTAAACTATATCATATGATATAAATATAAGACAAAAACCCATGCAGGGCCTTTTTTTTTTGCATATAACTGCATTCTAATGACGCAGTCAGTCCATAACACAGTCAGTCGTCGTCCTGCATCATGTTCATGCAATGTTAGATGACGTACAGGTCTGGGTCGGGCGGGTGCATTAAATGCATTAATTTTAATACGTTATTTTTTCCACAATTAATTGTACCGAATTAATGTGTTAAATCAACAGGGTATCTATACAGGGTACATATAGAGCACCCATATGAAGCACTAATGTAGAGGATCCAGATATTTACAATGCTTTGCTATGCTGTCTAAACAAATGGATCTGATTTTTATTGATTTCTAAAACAAATATTAAGTCTGTTTTCCAGTCTGTTTGTTTTTCTTTCTCAAAAGTCTTTCTGAAAAGCTCTTGGCAGCTACAGTAGGAATGTCAGTCAAATCCTAAAAGGAAATATTTGCAGTGTGAGAACAGCTTTAATCTCACTAACTCATTTATATCTGCAGGACTGTATTGGCGTGGCTGACCGCAGCTTTCTAGTGTAAATCACTGCTGTAGTCAAATAGAGCAAGAGAAAATGCGGTCTCAGCCTCATAACAAACGTATATTGAAGCTGAATTAGATCACTCCGCTTTTAAAGTGGAGACAGAAAAATAACTGCGATGGTGATCTGCAGCCACAGCATCTCTCTGCTGGAGCGGCTCGTCGGTTTGAGAGTAAGGTCACCTTCTATTTTCAGAATTATATAACCGTCCTGACCTGGTATATTTTAAGTGAATGAATGGCCCTGTTTTTAGTCACCTTGAGTCTTTCCTCCTGTTACTCTACAATACAGGTGCATCTCAATAAATTAGAATGTCATGGAAAAGTTCATTTATTTCAGTAATTCGACTCAAATTGTGAAACTCGTGTATTAAATAAATTCAATGCACATAGACTGAAGTAGTTTAAGTCTTTGGTTCTTTTAATTGTGATGATTTTGGCTCACATTTAACAAAAACAGAGCAAGCTAGTGTTAGAGGCCTTTTTGCTTTTGTTAATTGTATAATAAATAAAAAGAAAACAAATAAAAAGAAAACAAATAGATAGAATACAAAAAGATTAGAGAGGCTGTTCATTTGTTTTTTTTTAAAACAAGCAGTTTGTAAATAGAGTGCAAGTCTAAAAGGGGCAAGTTTTTTTTTTTTTAGTAAAGGGGTGCAGAGCCAGTGGTGGTTTTGTAGGCAAACATGAATGCCTTGAATTTTATGCGAGCAGCTACTGGTAGCAAGTGCAAATTGATGAACAGAGGTGTGATGTCCATTCTTTTCGGCTCATTAAAAATGTATCTTGCTTTTCTGAATGACAGAACCTAGTGATGCCATGTAGACAGAGAAGAGAAGTGGTCTAAGAACTGAGCCCTGAGGCACCCTAGTAGTTAGATGTTGTGACTTGGACACCTCACCTCTCCAAGGTACCTTGAAGGACATTTCTGAGAGATAAGACTCAAACCACTGGAGTGCGGTTCCTGACATGCCCTTTGCCAATAGGGTTGACATGTATATATATTTACATGTATATATATATATTTATATGTATATGTTAACATAAGTCAGTTCATTATGAAGTAAAATTGAACAGTAGTATTTTTATATATAAATCAACATTGATCAACATTGATAAATGCTGTAAAATGAACTGATTCCTAATGAGTGTTATTTCTTACTGTTTCATAGGCGGTACTTTGGGGAGAAGATTGGGCTGTATTTTGCCTGGTTGGGCTGGTATACAGGTATGCTGATCCCTGCTGCTCTAGTTGGCCTCTTCGTCTTCCTATATGGGCTTTTCACCATGGACTCCAGCCAAGTAAGGTCAGTCCCAGCAGGTATGCTCAGTTAATTCAGAATAAACCCCAGTGTGCCTGGACCAGGTCCCAGTAGTCCATATGTCAAAAAAGAGAATCCTGTAAACTTTACCCGTAATGATGCCATTTTCATTCACTAGTATTCATTCCTCCCCTACAGCTTATTTAAAATAAAGCACCGATTCACGATTGTTGTGTTACAGTAAAGAGATCTGTGAGGCCAACACCACTATCATGTGCCCCATGTGTGAAGGCAACTGCAGCTCTTGGACGCTGAGTGATAGTTGTGTCTATGCAAAGGTACTGTACATCCACCTACTACTGGCATAAACCACATAAGACCCCTTAGAAAATTTTAGATGTTCAGTAAAACTGACAGATTTTTTATGTTTTGGTGTAATATAAGCCAGTCACTCAAATGGCCCTTGTGATGTGATGTAATGTTCCCGATAGTGTCGTCGATTCAATTTACTTGTCCTTGTAATTAGTTCACGATGCTGTTCTGTGGGAACATGAAAACTCAAGAAAACCAAGACAAACAATACATCTTGGGTGTGTGTCGATAAATAAAGATTTTAGTCCTGTAGACAATTTAAGGCAAATACAATTTGTTTTGCTGAAAAGATGTTTCTATTCGATGTTTCAGTGTAAAGACATGGTTTATAGAACAGCCTTGTTTTTCAGAATGTCTTTTTTTTATTGTAGACTCATTAGGAAAGCATGTTTTGTCTGAAGTCAATGATATTCATATGTTTTAAATTAGAGTTTGGTCCTGGATTCTCAACATGCAAATCAAACACAGATTCCCCAAGCTGTGCAGCCAGTACTAAGGACTAAAAGATGTTTTTTGTGTCGTGGGAACATGGTGGTGACATTCCTGAGAGAGGCTAATATTTGAATAAAATACACATAATAATTGGTTCCTGCCCAGAAGAGTTTTATTGCTTGAAGATTGCTCTTTCATAACTCAGAAGACAATGTATTCACAGTTATTTTTTGGCAACACACCACTGTCGTGAGCCTGGACACGGGCCAGCGGTAACAATGGAAATGTTATCAGCTACTGTCCTTACACCTTTCAGCAATTCTTTCCCACTGGTCCCACCCACACCAGTGACACGATTTTGTCACATGGTTGCAAAATCGTCACCTCTGAGGATTATTTTTACAACCCACCGTTGATTCCTCCGCTTAGAAGGGATTTAATACCTGCCTGCTACTCCTCTGCTTTCAAAAACATCGGTTACGGTTCTTCAAACTCGCTTCAAAATTCACTCAACAGGAGTTCTGCTGAAAAAAAAAAGTCCATTCAAGTCCTGCCACTCCTCCCATATCCAAAAGGATTAAATGTCAATATACTCTTTCCACGCAGGTTAAATAAACAATTATATGAGCTGTACATAAAACCTCCTACCAAGCCCTCAGATGCTCCTCACAACTTACAGCTCGAATTTCCTCTTCCAAAATCTCCACCTCCTCAATAAACAAAGCTCCCAATGGGATGTCAGAGCAACAGATCAGTCTTTTCTACTCTAAATGTATATCACAATTGAGAGTCATTTGACACACGCCAATCATTTTCTCTGCATCCTACTACTGGAGTTTTGGTGACCACCAACTTTTTCTTCTGTCTCACTTCCTGCTTCTTAAGGAAGTTCATAATGCAAGTTCGAAAGGAGCTTATTAACCTTATCCTGTCAATCATGTTTCAAGGGTATATAAGCAGCAGCTAAGTTTACTTCTCTCCCATGACATTTCTTCAGCAACCCACCTCCTCCCCATCTCCACCTTTAGGCCCACATTTTTAACCCTATAGTTCGATGTAGTCCTTACAAAGCTTAATCTCAGTTCAAGACCAAGCATCCATTCATGGAAAGCACACCATCTGATTACCCTTTTTGCCAAATAATTTTATCAAGAGAACGTGTGAAACTCCATTGCAAACTCCTAGCACCGAACCTTGGGGTCTCATCCTGAGGTCTCTGATTTTGTACCTACATACATCACTTACTCACTTACAGTACTATGTCACTGTGTAATTGCATGTTGTTGTCAGGCATACTATACATCATATGAAGTCTTGTGAGTGCATCTGGTTGGGCTTTTCCAAATTATGTAGCTGGCAAAGGTTGTCTTTTGGCTCAAGGATTATGTGAGTAGGTGGTCTTTCAGTGCCAGTGCTTTCTTTTGCTCTTGTTACCACAAAATGGCAATTCTCATTAAATTGCATATATTGGCCGCTTCATTGCTGCAAATTGATATCAGAATGAATACCTCCTAAGGATGTACTCACAGCAAACGTCTTTTTCATTCTTCACTTAGGGGTAAAAATAAGTTTAGGGGTAGAAAGCAATGTATACTATAAGAGAACATCCTGATGCAGCTCACACTGCTGGGAGCACATTTAGGTTAATATGTAAATATGTGCTCCACACTTTCCTCTCAATGACAAAATAAGCACACAGCAAAAATTAGCGTAACATTTATTTATATAGCACTTTATACAATGTACTGACTGAAAAGAAGAAATTAAATGGAGTAGAGATTCATGTCGAAGAAGGCGGAGCCACATAGCATACCTTCCTATCACGTAATCGCCATGGACCACTGGTAGTTTGAAAATGTTCAGTAAGGTTTGCTTTGGTAAGCTGTTTCGAACTTGTGAAACAAACTCCAAATAAACTGCGTTTTGGTCTGATTTTGTTTAAAATGAAGCCATACCAGTTTGTTCTTGAATTATGCTTGAAGATAATTGGAGCCTTAAGTCCTGATTTTTTTTCAACACAGGATCATTGGAAATATGTGCATGTGGAGACATTTCTGCAACACTGATATTACGTACCTTATTGCACATTTCACAGCAGTTTCAAAGTGAAATGTCCAGTGAGTGGAGCTAAAACGCGTGTTCAACACGTGACTGTGGCCATGTTTTTATTACGTTGGTAATAGTTTCACAGGATTTGTTCCGGAGCGCTTCACCTCACAAGTGCATCGCCGTATCGCGTGAGCTACCCAACCTACTGTGTTAGAAAACCCATACATATGAAGCTCTATATGTAACACTAATGTTCAAAAGTACCAGTTTTCTTGCAGCATGTTAAAATTGTTTTGAGGTCATAACATAATATTGTGCAAGTTAAAATTAAAAGCTCCGGCCATGTGAATCATAATTTGTGTGAAAAAGCATAAAAGTTGTCTGAGTTTTATTGGCTCTAGTGTTTCTTTCAACTGAATACATTTTTTGAGTTTTGCAGAAACTTAATTAGAGGCACATATGAGGCTGGGTAGGTTTTTTTCTTTTTTTGCTGAAATTCATAACCTCATCCCATGACCTCATGTGGCTCATTGTGTGAATGAGAAAATGTAAAACTTGTAAAATGGTTACAAATTGTCATAAGACCGATTTAAAAATCAGATTTGACTAATTTCCTAATTATACATTCTTAAATACATTGCCTCTTTTTTGCCCACCAGGTGACCCATCTTTTTGACAATGGAGGCACAGTCTTCTTTGCTATCTTCATGGCAATATGGGGTGAGTTTGAATCTTTTCGATTTAATCAGTGCTCATTCACCAGCAGAAAGACAGACAGGTCAGCATTTGGTTTAAAGTACAAATTAAGTAATTATAAAAGAGGCTTCCTTCAACGGACGAAGAATCTATAGCAGTCTGTGGTCTGCTATAATAGGATTCACTCAAAAGCCCAAGAGAAGCAGCTGTAATCAATCACTGCTTTGTCCTACATTACAACAAATGATCCAATCAGGTCACAGTAGACCTCACTTACAGCCTAAACATGTAAATACTTCAAAAGTGTTTGAACTTCAATTTTTTCCTCTGAACACGAGGAGGGATAAATAGATAAGTGTTGAAGGATGGCTAGAAGCGATCACAGGTGAGTTAGTGCTTGATAATTGTAGGCACATTATAAAGTGTGATTGACTGGCCGAAGCCAAAGAAACACTTCCCAGGAGTGAATTTAGAGGAAAGTAATGTGAGCAGGAGAATCTATGGGCTAGTAGATAAGTTCTCTGAGAGATTTACAGGGCTGTAGATGTTTACCTTCAAATGTGCTGTTTAACCAAATTTTTATTATTCAAGTACAATAGCTAGTTAAAAATATGTTGGCAGTTTAACTAGCTCAGAACAATTATCTTCAACAATGTTGCTCCACCATAACAACAGTTGACCTGAAAGGAAAAACTAACTGTACAAGTTTACACTAATCCCCTTTGTGGTCATGCTTATTATTGAACTGTATGATACATTCAGGTGCAGAACTCTAGGTGATGTGTGTGGGATCTAAACAAAGCAACATATTAGTCACAGCCATATTTTTAACTGCTGGAAAAATAGCTATAAAAACAATGCATGACACATATGATATTAACACTATCAGTTAGGGTAGCTGCAATAAACTGTGCTACCCTGGCAACTAATTAAACCCCTTAATTGATCAAAAATGATTGTAAATAGTGAACAAAAGCTATAAACAAATAGTTAAATTGCTTTTAAAGTTAATTCATGAAATTCATGAACTGCTCAAAAAGATGGCTTTAGTTAGGATGAAGTTCTGTTGTCAAGAGAAACCAGAATAAATGCCTGGTCCTCTCAGGCATCTCAGAAACAAATTATAGTTCAGGCAAAAGCTTTACAACGATGACCACCCATTAACACATCGGAAATCCGCCAACAGCTTTCTAGAAGCTTAGAATGGAACAAAATGTGTACAAATAAAAGCTAACCTTAAATACCAATTAAATATATGTCCTTACTGCAGACTATTGGGAGTGTCAACCTTATTGATCTGCAGAAGCAAATCCCAAGTTATCTTTCTATGGCTCTTTGGAATAATTGATTCTAATTGGTCACTCACTACAATGCTTATTTTTACATTCTGAAGTCTAAACTTTATATTTTTAATTGTCTGTGGGAACAGTGCTATTTTCATTTTTCTTGTATCACTCGACAGCCTCTTTCTTTTCATGCAGATGCATGCTAAAATACCTCATTGGCACTTTTAACTTTTAACTGTAATTGCCATGTCATTGTTTTGATGTTATGGGAACTTCAATGCCAACGGCACCACATCACAGAGTAGTGCCTGCCCCACAAGGCTGTGAATAGCACAGACAGTTGTTGAGCACAGGCTAAACCCCAATCAACCCTCAAGAGACCCTGGGGTTGAATCCGAGTCCAGAATATAAAACCTGATGAATATGTGCAGAGAGGTCCATCCTGCCGCAGAACATCTTGTAAGGATGCATCCCTGGCAAGGGTCTTGGAAGATGCAACACACAAAGCTGAAATTGCGGCCACAAGGACCTTTAGCATAGCAGGGGTCAAATCCATTGACAGGCAGTCCTAAAGGAACTCCAGCACTGAACCAATAGGGCAGCTGACTGGGTTCAGCTGGAGCTGCTCGCACCATGATAAATAGAGTCTCCATTTCAGGACATATGACCTTCTGGTGGACTCTGGTGCTCAGAATTGTCTCAACATCCTTGGTTGGGAGACCAGAATCTAGGAGCTGGTACCCCTCAGGGGCCAGACCTAAGGTTTCCAAATTTCCAGCTTGGGGTGGTGGATCATCCCCTGCACTTAAGACAGAAGATCTAAGCTGGAGGGTCAGTATCTTGAACCTGTACAGTATGTCCGAAGAATACGGTTCAGGCCCCTCAGATCTAAAACTGGACACAGCACTCCATCCTTTTTGGATAAAATAAAGTTCAGACTGTACAACCCTGAATCTTTCTTTGGGAGAGGTACATGCTCTATGGCTCCTTTTTCCAGGAGAGACTGCAGTTCCTGGTTGAAAAAGACTGATTCTTGGCATACTACTGTTGTTAATATGTTGTTGAACCGAGGTGGACAGAAGACAACTCGGTCTTGGAGGGCCGGTGTCCTGCAGAGTTTAGCTCTAACTTGCCTCAACACACCTGCCTGGAAGTTTCTAGTATGCCTAATAAGACCTTGATTATCTGGTTCAGGTGTTTAATTGGGGTTGGAGCTAAACTTTGCAGGACAGTGGCCCACCAGGAGCAGGATTGGACACCCCTGCTGTGGCCTTTTCTTATGGTATTCAATACCCACTGAGAGATATTTGGCAGAAGCTACCACATTGCCAGAAATCTGGCAGAGGGATAATTTTTTGTTCTCTGAACGCTGCCGATCTGTGGCTCTTGTTAGTTCTTTCACTGTCTCAGGGGACAATCCCTCACTGAAATCCAGTTTTAATTATGGTTTCGGTGATGTAGTACACCACATCACTACGTCATCACGCTCAACCAATCAGGAATTGCCATGTGCACATGTGCTTCAGACACTGGCTCTCGTGAAACATTCCCATAGCATCAAAACAATGATGCAGCAAGTTCCATTCGAAAGGGAACTTATACATTTCTCTGGAAGAGCTGGAAGTGAGAGAATGTAAAATGCTACACTGAAGTTAAATAGTTTTTTCTAAATAATCAATACAACAGGTAACAAGCCAGTCATTATTGTGATATCATATTCAATATATGAAATGCATTTTAAATAAAAATATAAATAGATAGGGAACCCCTTATGCAGAAGTTCAGTGTACAGTAATTATGAGAAGTACTAATGCATTAATGCCTCTTTGAGGTCCTTTACTCAGATGTACAGCTGGAAGCTCTTGAATGTTTGTAGATGAGCTACAAAATTGATTCAGAAAGTTATATGACTAATGGCTGTTTGTATGCTATATGGCTTGTTTGTTTTTTTTTATTCTGTAAGACAGTAGATGATCAAAAGATTAGCTGTAGAAATGGCCATCTAGAGTAAAACAAATAGAGAAGTAGAAAGACATGACTGAGAGAGCAAAGACATCATGACTTTGAGGTCAGGACCTCAACACAACTCTTAACATAACCATGCGCTGCTTTGACCTCCACATAAAGCACTGCACTTGTTACGGAAGGGTACAGAATTTTCACAGTTGCCAGGTAAAAATAAAAACACAGGAAGTTGTGTAAATAATGAAAATGATGAAGGCAATCCAGATATGCTCAGAAACAGTTCAAGGCAGAAAGCTAACCGGATTTTTTGGCTGATGGATGACAGTTGATTTCTTCTTGTGAAATTGATTCGGTTTAATTACATGTTATATTATTTTTTCCCCACTGCAAAGACCTTGTTTATTAAACAATGTGCATGGAAAATACAGGACACCTCAGTTCATCTTTATATTTAGGGTAATCGTGTATTTTTGAGGGATGGGTGGCAACTGAAAATTGTATTTGATGCTTTCCTTCAAAAAGTCCACTACTTTGGGGAGTGTTGACAAAAGTCATATTAGTGTAATAATAGAACACTGTGATGGGGACTGTACTGTTCCTGACAGAGAGTCCCAAGTGGATCTGCAAGTCTAAATCCTGAGAGCTCCAATGTGAAGACAGCTTTCAGCAAGAAGACTGGGCTTTAAAAAGTAAACAACTCTCCTTTTGGTCTCTCACTCTGTTTCTTCCCTTCCAGCTCTTTTGCTTTCAACAAAAGTGGGTCATACAGTCCTTTGGTAGAAACGAGGGACATGTGAACTCAGAGAGCCCAGATGTTTTTTTTTTTTTTAAATAGTTAAATTTAACATGAAAACCTCACAGAGCTCATCTTTGTCACGTTTATGTTCTGTGTTTCTGTTCTCCCTGCATTGACCTAGCTTTCCTGTGTTGCTTGATTAGTTCATTAGTTTCCACCTGTGTTTGTTATTCATCCTATTAGTCCATCGTTTGATTTAGTATTTATAGCCCTGCCTTTCCTCAGTTTCTTTGTCCTGTCTCCGTCGTGTAAAGAGGTTGTTTTCTCTTACGTTCCCATGAAAATTTATTAAAGACTCTGTTCATTTGACTATCTGCCTCCTTTGTACTCCTTCGAGCTCCTTTCCCCTGGCAATGGACTGAGCTGAGGATTTTTTACTAAACATCCAGCAGGATGGAAGGCCTTTGGAGCGATATGTGGAGGAGTTCCTGAGTGTCTTCCATCTGGTGAGCTGGAGTGATCATATCCTTAATGCGTGCTTCCGGATGGGACTGGATGATGATAATTTATTCCGATTCTTGTCTCCAGACGATTGTTATAGGAGGCATGTTGGCCCTCCAGTTCACCATAAACCAGCACCCTCCACATACCACTCCAATGAGCCCGCTCCCTCTGTTCCACCCCTGCTTTCCCGAGCCCATCCAAGATCCATTCCAGTCCTCAGCCCAGAAAAAGAGGCACCAGCACTCCCTCTAGAGTCCACTCCAGCGTGCCTCTCAGCGCTCCTGGACATGGCGCTACCCCCAGCGTTCTCGGCTCCTATCCTCTCGCCTGAGCCCGCTCCAGAAAACTCTCCTTCGTCTCCTGAGTCTCCTTCGCCTCCGCTGGTCCCGTCCAGCCCTCCTTCATCTCCTGAGCCCCCTGTGCTAGCCAGCCCCGCTCCTCCAGAGTGCCCTCAAGTGCCCGCTCCTCCAGAGCGCCCCCCAGAATTCCTAATTTTCCCCAAGAAAATTTTTTGGGAGGGGGCATATGCCCGTGGCCGTGGTGGCCGAGCTGGCTAAGGTCACGGAGGATCCGCCATGGCCTCCTAAGTCCCCTGCTCCGCCATGGCAACCTGAACTGTCTGCTCTGCCATGGCCTCCCGAGCTGCCTGCTCCGCCATGGCTTCCTAGTCTGCCTGCTCCACCATGGCCTCCTGAACTGTCTGCTCTGCCATGGCCTCCTAGTCTGCCTGCTTCGCCATGGCGCCCCGAACTCCCTGATCCGCCCTGGAGGCCTTCCTTGTCTCCACCCTGTTCCTGCCCTGCACCAGCCTCTAGGGTGCCCGCCCCCATCCCCGTTGGAACTGTTACGGCGTGGGACGCGCCTGGGGGCGATATGTCACGTTTATGTTCTGTGTTTCTGTTCTCCCTGCCTTGACCTAGTTTTCCTGTGTTGCTTGATTAGTTCATTAGTTTCCACCTGTGTTCGTTAATCATCCTATCAGTCCATCGTTTGATTTAGTATTTATAGCCCTGCCTTTCCTCAGTTTCTTTGTCCTGTCTCCGTCATGTAAAGAGGTTTTCTCCTACGTTCCCATGAAGATTTATTAAAGACTCTGTTCGTTTGACTATCTGCCTCCTTTGTACTCCTTCGAGCTCCTTTCCCCTGGCAACCTGTGACAATCTTATTTTTTCTTTGATTTATTTAGTATTCCTTTTTAGTGCCTAAATCAGTTCCTGTGATACTGTGAAAAATTCATGCTTCTGAATAAGCTAGCTGATTACATTCTGCAAGCTAGATTGAATCTGAATGTCTACCAGTGAGATATGAAACATTATAAAATGGATAGTTCTAATCCAAAACCCTGTGAATTCGAAGCTGGTGTAAAATGTTGATGATCTGTGATGATCATGCGTTCTATATTATTGCTATTATAACCAGTCCTGTGGGGTTATTTTGGTGCAACTTCACAAAACCAGCAATGTTTGTGGAAAAGACAAAAGTATTTGATAAACAGCAAAAAAGCAACACTTGTGGAGTGGAGAAATTAAAAAATCAAATGATAAACCTAAAAAAGGTCAATACAGACAAAGACAAAATTTGTAGTTTAAATTTGTACTTCTGCATTTTATTTATTATGCATTTTTATGCAGTTTGTACATCTGTATTTTATTTTTATGCATTTTAATTAAGATTGTTAATGTAACTACATTTAAATCATTTTAATAATTTTAGTACTTATTAGGTGCCCCCTTGAAGTTTGCCACAGCCCCGTAGTGGGCCCTGGAACCCCTGGTTGAGAACCATTGCTTTAAATGTCATAAGAACCAAATGTGAGAGTTGTATCTATATTATAACAGGTTTTTCATATTGCTTTTTTGAACTTGGCACAGACATCACCTTTCAGAGAGGCAAATACGAAACGGCTCTGGTCCTGTGACTATTCACACACTGTAAAAAATCATCAACAACATCTTTTATACCCTTCAAACCTTTGGTCACAAATGGGATTAGATGGGCTATAAATGTGTTGAAATTCAACAAACTTCCTCAGCAGTTGTTATAGACAGTAATTGACCTAAAAAAAAAAAAAACCTCACAATAGAAGAAGATTATGCAAATGCTCACAACACTGTTCCTTTCAGCAAGGAGATTTGCGTTCTTAACAATGCCTGAAATTGAGTTTGCATAGTTAAAGTGCTTGTTTTCCTGTATGTACATATGTATGTTTGGGCCTAAGATGACCTTTCTTAGTCACCTCAAGTAACTTTGAATAGAACCATACTGTATCTGAAAGCTCTTGTTCATATTGTGTTCACATCTTACCACTTCCTCCTGTCCTGTCACAGCCACGGTATTCCTTGAGTTCTGGAAGAGGAGAAGGGCGGAGCTAACCTACGACTGGGATTTAATTGACTGGGAGGAAGAGGAGGTGAGCCTGCCTTCCTGTTTGTTGCTTTATGTTCCTTTAGAAATATCATAATTTTTTGAAACCTGTTAAAATGACCATTAAGTTCATGAACAACTGTAACTGGTGTGTGGCCAATCTATGTGCTGTCTGTTGTATTTCCTATAGTGTAAATCCTGTGTCATGGTGTGTTCTGTGAGTGTGCCTCCTACCGTATCATGTTGTGTTGTGCATGCCTTGCTCCTAATGTGAATATGACTCAAGGGTGTTCACACTGACAGCGATTAGCTTTGACAAAGCATCTGTTGTTGCGTGCCGTTCTTGGGTTGAGAAAAGTTTAAGTTTTATGCGTGTCCATCTCCTGTAGAGATTTTAGTCAAATGTCAGCAAGACGTAAGAGACATTAATTTTGCTGCAACCCAGGCTCATTGGAAAAACTTTTTTATAAAATGTTATTACATTCCTTCTTGAAAGATTTGCGAGACATTCAAAGTGAAATGTCCAGTGAGTGGCACTTAAAGCGCATTCAGTTTGATCCAAAAGATGAACGTGAATCTGGGATCATTTGATTACATTGGTTGTTGTATGTATCGTAAGTGCCGCTAAAATGTTAATCCTCTATCGTATTTGATTAAAAAAAAGGACCACCTATATTAAACTGTAAGCTAACCCTAACCTGCTCCTGCTGCACCAGGTGAGCTATCAAGCAAGTTTACTATGTCAGAAAAGCTATACATATGGAGCTGGTTATGTGATGCAGACATCAAAATGTATTAGTTTACAAATCATTCACTACGGTAAAAGTGTTATGAGGTTATAACATTATATTGTGCAAGGAACCATATGAAAATAAGTCTTTATTAATCAATAATCTGTCCCTGTAATCAGAATTTGAATGAAAAGGAATAAAAGCTGTTGGTGTTTTACTGCCACTAGTGTTCATTTCAGCTGGAAACTGCAGTGAATTTTATGTAATTGTACGTTTTTGCTGTTTTGCAAAAATTCAGGGTAAAGGCATGTATTTCCAATGAGCCGATGCTTTCTCTGTGAACAAAAATGTATTTTTCTTTGCCTACATGTGGTGAATCGGCATTCTAAGAGTGTTTAGTTAATAATCGTTCATTTTATTCGTATGATGTATTATTTGTTGTCAAAACAGGAATCTCATTTGTAATTATATTTTCTAGCTAAGGCCAGTTGCACAGCACACCAATAACATTTTGGCGTCCAGTCGTAGTAATGTACACTCATTCACATTCACTTGACAACTTCCCGTGATAAAATCTCAGTGTGAACAGCTCTTGTGAACCGCATATCATCAGCATGTGCAGAGTGATGGTGAACTGATGTACTGTGCATATTTTGTGTGAAATGCGTTTGAGGGAACACCTCAAAATAACCCAGAGATCAAAGCGATCAGATGTGGCTCATACTTGCTGTAGGTCTGCAGTTTGCATTCGTTGCCCTGTAGATTTCTGCTGTTGCTAATGTCTGTATAACAGTGGTTCTCAAACTGTGGTTCATGACCCAATAGTGTTACACAAACCTCTTTTCCACTAAGTGCTGCAGGCATGATGTATTTTTGTAGACCAAAACCTGTAAACAAGGCATTTTTTCTGAAGTCAATGGTTTTATTGAATGGGATTTTGGTTAATGCCTGAAATAAGGTTTGTGTTTTTTGTTGAGGGAACCAGGGTGATGCTAACTTCCAGGTTGCCCTACAAAAATACATCATCATTCTTAGTGCTTAGTGTAGACGTTAACACAGTAGTACAGCTAAACTTTTGTTGTTAGAAAAACTTTATCTAAAGTTTTATTTGGTCATTTGTTCCTGGTTCCAGACCAGCAAGATTTTAGGGCCAGTGTGGAACCAGAATTTTTTCTGTGGTGGAAATGGAATGGAAACTAGCACCAGAACAACAGCATATTTATGCCACACAAATTTATTTAAATAGATTTTTTATTTATTTCCCCAAATATTTTATTTCTAATCAGTTCACCCAAAAATGAAAGTTCTGTCTTTATTTAACTACTTATCGTGGGTAACTACTTAATGGTTAAATTGAAGAGCTACAAGAACAAAAAACTAAAAGGCTTTTTTCTTTTTTTTTAAGCGAGTAATAACTTTTGGTCTGTTCCTTACATAAACCTATCAAATGACTTCAGAAGGCTTGGAATGTAGCACACTACTTGCATGAACTATATTTATGTTACATTTATAGTGCTTTTTTTCTATTTTAGAGCTTAGCAGTGCCAGATCACTATATGCTCCCATTGTATGGAAAAGCGGAGCATGAACAGTCTTGAAAATATCTTCTTTTGTGCTCTATGAATGAAAGGATGATATTTGGGTTTGGAAAGACAATAGGCAGAGTAAATAATGACAGAATTTTAATTTTTAAGTGAGCCAGTCCTATTATATTTTTGTGTTTCTAATATGTAGCCTATGTTCTTACATTGACAGTGTGGTGCTGATTAGGTGATACTTGGATGGTGTGACTTGATCAGACGTAATAATTGGCCTAAAAAAAGTTTGAGAACTGCTGCTGTATACAGTCTCTTCTATATTCAACTGTCATATTGTGGAATGTATTAATAAATATATCTCATGTTGAGGCATTGAAGTTTCTCATGTTAACTCATTCAGCACATGTAAACAGCCTCTGGATTGACATCATGTCCAACCAAAACAGATGATGATGTTGAACATCTGTGTATGATGAGAATCATTCATGAGATCTGTAAAAATATCTTCAACCAATTGTTTCATGAGTAATATGATGTTGTTGTTGTTTTGTTTTGTTTTTTAAAAAAGGAGGAGCTACGGCCCCAGTTTGAAACCAAATACTCCCGGAAGGAGAGAGTAAACCCCATCTCAGGGAAACCAGAGCCCTTCCAGCCCTTCACAGACAAACTCAGCCGACTCATGGTGTCTGTTTCGGGAATCTTTTTCATGGTAGGATTCTGTGTTCAAAATATCCCTGAAGATAGAACAAGCAGATCAGAATTATCACTACCCGTCATGCAAATTGGGACAAGAATTGTATGGAATTCAACAATTCTGGTTTCATTTCCAATTAGATTTATTTTTGTTTCTTGACAATTTCACAAACACTGGTTTATTTTAAGAAGTCCTTGTAGAAATAGCTAATTAACATTAGTGTTAGGGTAACGCTTAGTTTTTGTTTAGTTGCTTGTTATTGTTCATAATTTAATGTTATTACTATAGTAAATACAGTACATGTAACGTGTAACAAGGGTACTGTAAAACTAAGCATTACCCAATTATTTTAGTAATTTTGCGGATGAAGGAATGGAAAATATTTAGAAAACAGTACTTATTGAATGTAATGCTCTCAGTAGCCTGTTATGAAATAACTAATATTACTTGATATTCATTTGTGTAATTACACTGTAATTACACAAAAGCCAAATCATGGACACCACATCTGTGTGCATACCATGAAAAGGTAGGATTGTAGATTTTTGTGCACAGCTGACACCTTATAAGATGCATTTGTACATGGTATGATTCATATTGTATGCCAGTGTTTCATCCACACAGGCAAAAGAATGCAAGCGTCACAACTGAATGTCATGAAAATCATCCATCAGTTCCAGCATTCCATTATTTTCAGTTCTGAACCCTGTTTGTAGCTCCAAAGAACATTTGAAATTAAAATGAACTTTTTTTGATTATTATTGGATTTTTAGTTGATTAAAGTTAGCTCACACAGCTGCACTACCATAAATAACTGTCTCCCTCTGGTGGCCCTGAATTAAAAGGCAATGCATATCAAAACTATATCTAACTTTGTAAAAGGAAACTTCTGCAAGATTCCAATATATATCCATCCATTTCAAACATTCCACCCTGTTCACCTCTCGTCATCTTTCTTCCAGATCTCTCTGGTCCTGACAGCCGTGTTTGCCGTGGTGGTGTTCCGGCTCATTGCCATGGAGAAGTTTGCTTCCTTTCAGTGGGAGTTTGTGAAGAAGAACTGGCAGTTCGCCACCTCAGGCACTGGAGTCTGCATCAACTTCATGATCATCATGTCTCTGAATGTGGTTAGTGTCTTTTCTCTAGTCCCAAAGGCCTCTTCACACCAGAGAGAGACACAACAAGGAAAACTTTTACACAAAACTTTTTACACTGACGTTTCACACAAAAAGAGAAACAAGTTTTTGGAAGGCTTTGCCACAAGAACTTAAATGAAAGCAAAATACACTTTGAAGCAATAAAAACATTAGTACAAAGTAAAATAAATACTTTAATGCAAAATAAAACTCATTGTGAAAATGTAAACTGATATTTTCTCTCTCTCCTGAGAGAAATTAGGAATATTTGATGATACTGTCAGTAATAATAATAATAATAATAATAATAATACAGATTTTAAATAAAATACATTCCCATTTTTTCAGCATAGTTATATTTTGTTAATCCAAGTGGTTCCATGGCTATGCAAAAAAAGGAATGTGACATTTGCATTTATTATAATTTTTTTTTTTTACATTTCTCATTTCATAGCATCTCAGATGTTATTCTGAAATGCCAGAGCTTCAAAATGAAATCATCGAAATTATTGACTACTATTACATACTGACGCTCCCAGACATAAAATGTAAGACGGTTGCTAGCAAACATAAATGTTATTACAGTGTTTTGTCTGCATCCTTAAAACAGCAAGCCATTAATTCAATTCAATAAAAGAGTGACTTCCCGAGCAGTTACAACTTAATTTCCATTTCTATGTGGCACCAGTGTGACAATTTTATTTTCCTGAAGACAGGGATGGAAATGCTACTTTCTCTAATAACATTGCAACTTAATATATGTAAATATAGCGACTTAAATTAACTTTCAAAAGTGTGGGGTTGGTCTTTTTTTTTTTTTTTTGAAAGAAGACGCTCACCAAGTCTGCTCAAAAATGTTATTATAATTTAACAGTTTTCTATTGTAATATATTGTTATTCCTGTGATGCAGTGCTGAATTTTCAGCATCATTACTCCAGTCTTCAGTGTCACATGACCCTTCAGAAATCATTCTAATATGCTGATTTGCTGCTCAAGAAACATTTCTGATTATTATCAATGCTGAAAACTATTGTGATGCTTCATATTTTTATGGAACCTGTGATACATTTTTTAGGATGCTTTGATAAACAGAAAGTTCAAAAGGGCAGCTTGTTTTAAAATAGAAATAATTTGTAACATTGTACATTTATTTACATTACACTACACTACACATTATAAATTATACACTATACATTTACATTATGCATGCATACTTATTGAATGAAATGATTAATTTCTTAAAAAATAAATAAATAAATGTACTGATCCCAAATTTTTGGGTACTAACATACTGTAGATTAGTATAAACCATGTATTAAAATCCTTATTAATGGCATAGTCTGTAAATCTCTTGCAAAAGGTTTTTCATTTCATATTTTCAGCCTAGTCTATAATGGTACTGAGTCAAATTCCTTTTACCCACCAGGTCTATGAGAAAGTGGCCTACCTACTTACAAACCTGGGTAAGTATTGATTTCGTCAAGGTCACTATTGATTGAGGGTGAAATTCTTGCAGTCTTCACGCTGTGAGAAACTTTCCTCACGCCTGTAACATGCAGTGATTTCCCTAATGATTTTAACATGTTCACTTGTGACCTAGAACACCCACGGACAGAGTCAGAATGGGAAAACAGCTTTGCCCTCAAGATGTTCCTCTTCCAGTTCGTCAATCTCAACAGCTCGACCTTCTACATAGCTTTCTTTTTAGGAAGGTAAGCAACTCTTGACCTAGTTGATGAATTATTCAGTGCTTGGTTTACTTGCTGTTGCTGCTTTCATTTGCCCAGATTATACCACTTGAGATCTGTTTGCCATCAACTCATACAGGAACTCTATGGCGCTGACGCAAACGCCTCCCCCACAATAGCATGGCTAATTGAATTTCAAAGCTAATTTCACGTGTGTTGTTGTGATGTGTGTGTATTCCGCAGGTTTGCTGGCAGGCCGGGTGACTATAATAAGCTGTTTAACCGGTGGAGGATGGAGGAGGTGGGTGAGATGAGGCCGTAATGAGTCCTGTGTATTGTATGATAGGGCCCTATATTTTAAATGAACTAAATTGCAACTTCACCATTACCATCACCATAATATAGAGGTGAATTTAAGTCCTATTTTAGTGTCAAATAAAAAAATAAAACACTACATTTATTAACACGACTATACAAAACTGCATAATACATTTTAATTTAATTGCAATTAACATGCAGTTAAGTGTCAGAAAACATTACATTCAGTTTGCACTTAAGTTCATTCTTTTACATTTTTTTTATAATAAGTACTCTTTTTAAAGTGTGCTAAAGTGCACTTCTATTTCACAAGGGCAACCAAAATATTTATGCTTTTTCTCTCTCTCTCTCTCTCTCTTAGTGTCATCCCAGTGGTTGTCTGATCGACTTGTGCCTACAGATGGGAGTGATTATGGTGTTGAAACAGATCTGGAATAACTTCATGGAGCTGGGCTACCCGTGAGTATCAGCAGACACACAGTGGCGTCAGAGAGGCAGGACATCTCTGGACTACAACAATATTAATGTGAAAAATAACTGGGCATTCTCAGCTAGCTAACCAAGACTTTCACAAGCTATCCTGAGCTGTAATGTCAAAGATGACAAGCAGACAAAGAGAAAATGATTCATTTTAAGAGCCCTTCAAAAAATTGGAACTGGTATAATGTGTGCAATAATGACTGTTCTCTCCCACAAATTAAACAAACACCAGCAAATTAAAACAAATTGCAACTGCAAATTGGAATCTGGTGTGCAGTATGCATTAAATAATTGATGAATGGTCTGTTGGAGGCTGAGGCTATAAAACACCTTGCTAACAACCTAAATGTTTTATTGCCGATTTAACCAATGGAATTCTATTCAGCCTCTCACCTATCATGTTATAATCACACATGTATCGTATAGTGTGTATATTCACAATACAGGTGGCATATTTCACGTAGATTTTGAAAGATACTTATTGTGTCAAACTGCTCGTAATTGGAGTCTTACTTGGCCAATCAACTCTTGATACACCCCTTTTTCCTCCAGGATGGGGTAAATTGCATTTTGTTTGATTTTATTGGTTCTTTCTTAACACCTAAACCTAAACAGCAGTCATACAGATTTCTCTTTGTCATCTTTCTTTGTAGTACATTTTAATGTTGTTAAATATATACATTATTTCATAAGATCTGACTTTGTTATTGAGTGTATGAACATAGAGGTCTGTGCTACTCAATTATTAGCCAAAACAGGATGTGTTTGTCCTCAGTTCCAGTCCACTGCGTTCACGGCTGGCTGATTTTGCCAACCCTGCAGTTCAGAGAGAAATGTATGCCTCATCAGAAAGAGCCTCGACAACAGAGTGTACTTAACAGACCATCAGCAAACCATGATGAGGGACATTAGTTTAGATTATCATTACTGTTCTCTCTGCCACTGTTCACAGAAAAAATGAAAACTTATTATGAACTTACACTTATTTCACCATATTCTGTCTATTTCATGGAACACAGAAGATTTTTTGAACAATCTTCAATCAGCAATTATAAATAAATATATAATAAATATAATATAACTATAAATAAATTGGTCCCACTTTATATTAGTTGTCTTTAAATACTGTATACTTTATAATAAAATAATGACTTGCTAGGTACAGTGTTCCTATTGTGTTCATGTTGAATTACAAAACACTTTCGCTGCTATTGAGGTGGGATATAGGTAAGGTTAGGGGCAGGTTTGGTGCTATGGGTAGGTTTAAGAGGTGGAGGTAAGGTCAACAGTATAATTACAGATGTAACTACAGAAATTAATTACAGATGTAATTACAGGACTGTATTTTCAAATATAAGTACAATGTAAAAACATGTATGTACACAATTGGGCCTTTTATCAGATTATTAATTTAAATGTAAGTACATAGTAGTTAAGGCCACTTAATATAAAGTGTTACTTTAAAGTACATTTTAAATCATTGCTTTTTAATAATCTTTTGTTGTGCTTTAAAGAAATAGTGTTGACTAACATAGTTAAGCACATGTACTGCTCTGTTGCTTGATTATTTAGATACAGACATAACCATCACTCTTTATAACTTATCAAATACAATTTTTAAGTCATTTTTTTTCTGTTCCTCTATCAGGCTGCTGCAGAACTGGTGGTCCCGGCGTAAGATGAAACGAGCAGGAGAGCAGAATAACAGTAAAGAACAGCTGCCGCAGTGGGATAGAGACTGGAACCTGCAGCCCATGAACGCACACGGCCTGGTGGACGAGTACCTGGAGATGGGTGAGTTCTGCTCTTATTGTGAGATCTGTTGAAGTGTGTAATTTTCTGTCATGGTGAAGAAGAAGCAAGTTACATAGTTTAAGTTAGACAACAGCTACCTTAGAAATAACACATCTGATTTAATGTAACTGAAGGTTGCTGATAACTGCTTTGTTACCACCACATTAACACAAACACACGTTACAGTAAGCATGTTCAACAGGGCAGCATGCTTGAAATGCATTGGGCAAGCATTTGTGTCAGTGTTTTCTGCTCTAAATAAGTAATTGTTAGACTGATCTACATGGCCTGCAAGTTTGATATGCTTTCTGTACAGTTCTGCAGTTTGGTTTCACTACAATCTTTGTGGCGGCGTTTCCTCTGGCTCCTCTGCTTGCTCTGCTCAATAACATCATCGAGATCCGATTAGATGCCTACAAGTTTGTCACGCAGTGGAGAAGACCGATGCCTGCCCGCGCTACTGATATTGGTTGGTCCTTTTCCCCTCAATTAGCCTGGTGTCAGCTTATTCCTATCTAAATGCAAGAAACACAACAGTCATTTGTTGTAATTACATTTACAGCTTGTTGTAAATATAGAATGTTAGCATGAATATTCACAATATACAAGATATGTCAATGCTTAATGTTCTTTAATGTTGCAGATTTTTTTTATAGATTTATGTATAATCTGTCCTTGTAAATTTCAGTATATTTTGGTTTGATAGATCAGTAATTATTATTATTTTTTTTATAATTAGGAATCTGGCATGGTGTCCTGGAGGGAATTGGAGTTGTGGCTGTCATAACAAATGCCTTTGTCATTGCCATCACTTCAGATTACATCCCTCGCTTTGTCTATGCTTTTAAATATGGGCCCTGTGTGGACAAGGGTTACCGGCATGAGAAGTAAGAAAGCAGCAATTACAAGCAGCACTTACTAGGTTGAACACACCAGTGGTGTGTGCATTGTAAAGCTGAGAAGATTTCTTTGGTTAGCCACTCTGGTGGTGATGGGTGGTTGCAAAGATTCAGCTTCACCATGTCAGTGCATTTCTGGGAAATTATTTTGAAATTCATAAATTCAGTTATTCAGCTTTATGAGCTTGCGGGGGCCTAAGCTAGATAAGACCAGAGAAAAAAACAAAAAAAACATGGAAATGTGAATTCAAATACCAACCCGTATTATTATTTTCAGTTAATTGCAACTAAACCACAGTGCATTATCATTGTAAGGAAAAGATAGGCTTTCTATTTTATAATGTCGATTATTTCCACAGTAAAAAGAGGTGGAACTACAATGACAGAATATTCTGCAAATTACACATTTTTATGGACATTATCAGCATGAAGTCAAATTGTACTCATTGTATTTAGACATCATGCAAATTCATGTAACTTCATTACAAAAGATAATTGGTTGCATTCAAAATCCCAAATTCAGTTTTACTAATGCTGTGTATTTGCATTTTGTGTGTCTTTACACAGATGTCTAAGAGGATACTTGAACAACAGCTTGTCTGTTTTTGATATGGGTGAATTAAAAAATGGGAGTTATCATACTCGATACTGCAGGTACTGCAACATTCATATTGTTATATGCTATTCAGTTGTTTTTTGTTTTTCTCTCAAGGTAAATTTGTCTTATATCCCTCTACAGGTATCGGGATTACAGAGCGCCTCCATGGAGTCCTGAACCCTATGAGTTCACCCTGCAGTTCTGGCATGTTTTGGCTGCCAGATTAGCCTTTATCATAGTCTTTGAGGTCAGTGCTTCACGTTTTTATATTTTATAATCTTATTTGAGTAAAACCATCAACAATCTCAGGCAACATTTCATGGGAGCCCATGTAAACACAAAATGGGCTTAAGCTCTAAATGGGTTTCATGGCAGACCTATCTGAGTAAGGCCTTACTGGGGCTAATTCAGAAAAGACTGACAAGGTACCCATGGAAATCCATTGAACTCCAGGGATTGAACTTATTTAAGGCATAAAGTGGGGCTTATTCAGACAGGGCCGACAAGGAACCTATGGACAAACCCATGTTGAGCCCATACCTCAAGCTCATATCGTGCCTACATTGGCCTCACCTTGAAATGTTGGCTTGGGGAAGCTACTTGGAAACTTTAGCTTTAAAGCTACAAGCTATTCATAGTTTTAAGTAGTTAAATTAAAGTAAACCTGCCCTTTGATAAATGTTACAAGGTTCTAGTGCAGGGGTGTCCAAACTCGGACCTGGAGTGCCACTATCCTGCAGAGTTTAGCTCCAATCCTAATTAAACACACCTGAACCAGCTAATCAAGGTCTTACTAGGCATGCTAGAAACTTCCAGGCATAAGCTAACCTCTGCAGGAAACCGACCCTCCAGGGCCGAGTTTGGACACCCCTGTTCTAGTATAATGGAGGCCAGCTGGTACAAGATGGCTATGCAGGTAAACCTCACTTCCCTGGCCTGAGGAGGTGAACTAGTGCTGACATTAGAGGCTTCAGGCTTTACATCAGACGCGAGCTGGACAAGATAATTTGACAAAAGTCAATAGAGCCATTTATAATCAGTGATGCTGTCTAAACAGGATGCAGTACGGTGCAGTGCGTCAAAAGTCCGAGACACTTTGTCGCTTCCAGTGTAGACATCCTTTAGCTGTTGTGGTGCTTTGCGGCACAACACGACAGCTGTCACATCCGGTGTCACACGGTGTTAGAGTCCTTGTTAATGTGCCTGACTTCCATCACTGGTTCAGACCCCACTTGGAGTGACCTGGGAGGAACAGTTTACAGTGGTGCCATGACCCGGATGGGAGTGAGATTTAGGACGGTGAGTGTAATGGAGGCCAGCTGGTATGTGATAATTGTGCAGGTAATAAACTTCACTGTCCTGGCCTCAAGAACCACTGCACTAACCACTGATACAAGAGGCAGTGGTTTTTAGCGTACCTGTTAACATGCCTGACTCCCATGACCCGGATGGGAGTGAGATTTAGGACGGTGAGTGTAACGGAGGACAGCTGGTATGTGATAATTGTGCAGGTAATAAACTTCACTGTCCTGGCCTCAAGAACCACTGCACTAACCACTGATACAAGAGGCAGTGGTTTTTAGCGTACTTGTTAACATGCCTGACTCCCATGCCGGCTATCGTCTGTACAAGCCCTGCTTGCAGTGGGCCGAGAGGAACCGGCTACACTAGCGCACTAGCCTAATCGCAGGAGCCAGACTCTTTTTTGACTCTTGGCAAAATTACTTATTCTGGCCAAGAACCACCAGAATATGTTCATGTTAGAATGAGTAGTATGTCCAAATAGGTAGTATTCTTAAAACAGTATGCAAAAAATATCCAAATTACCTATTACTATTGAGATTCTGAAGTGCTCATTGTCATGGCACCATGATGGCACTGGTCTTCCTTCACACAAGGCTAATTGTGCTACTTCTCAATACTGCAATGCAATCTAAGATTATTTCATGTTTATGATTTTCCCATTGTCTGATTGTCTGTTATATTCTCCATAGCACCTGGTGTTTGGCATTAAGACCTTCATAGCCCACATGATTCCAGACATGCCCAAAGACCTGTGTGATCGCATGCGCAGGGAGAAATACCTGATGCAGGAGATGGTGTATGAGGCGGAACTGGAGCACTTGCAGAAAGAGCGGAAAAAGAACGGCAAACGTTATCACCATGAGTGGCCTTAGCCATGCCTGTCCATAAATACACACACAAAAAAATGCCCACTGGAGAACCACACGCACTACCCACAAAAGCACATAATGACTTGAGAATGGTAAACAAGCATCTTTGCAACATGCACAACTGCAGCACATATGTGAACACAGACATTCATGTACAACCGTTCTGCTACCTTCGACGGCTAGCTTTATTGACTCCATGCATGGGCTGGCCACTTTTCATTACTGTGACAAACCAGGGAGCGTATTCAGTGTTTGAGGTCAAAACCTGATCTCCGGGTGGCCCTTTAGAGCCAGGAGTTGGCAGCTGTAATCTGCACCAAAGAGGTTCTTCTCAGTCCCTACCTGAGACCTCTGATTATCCTATACTTTCATCCTGCTGAGTGCGTTTACACACTAGAGCAGTAGTTCTCAAACTGTAGTGATTGGCTACTTAAACTGTTGTCTCATTTAGGTTCATTAGCTAAAAGTAGCTATGAAAGCAGTGTGGCAAATACGGGTGTGCACGAATAGTCAAACATTCGAATATTCGGTCTGTAATTATTATTCGAACAATAAAAACACTATTCGAATTTTACTATGTGTTGATTTGCTGGCCGTAAATGCAGGGAATCCATGATAAATCCTAAGCAGTTATAACTAAATGCACTCTGGGTGGCTTGGATTTACTTTGATCTAAATGATCTTACTAAATGATCTGACAAAATGTAATTACTTCTGATCAAATGAATTAGTGAAACTGATTTATCATAATATCACCACCACAATGAGAAATCACATGCAATCCAAACAGTCGACTGAGGAAAGACAGCTGTCCATTACTGTATTCACGACTGCAGGTAAGCGCAGCTGTACTCTGATTGAGCCGAGAAGACAGTGCATCTGATAGCCAGATGATCTTGAGATATATATATAAAGGTTCCACGAGGGAGAGTGGTTTAACACAAAGCACTAAGAAACTGTTAGCACACGTTATCTTTGTCAGCGCGTTCTTATTGTTATCAGACTGAGGAACAAACTTTCACCCGAGCATTTGGATATTATTGTTTCTCTCAGAATTTATATGTGAAACAATGTAAACACAATTAATATAGGCCGACTCGAGTATATGTAATTGGCACAGTCTGATTGATTTTTCCGTTTGCTCTGCTTGATCTTGAATGCTTTTTTTAATGTATTTTTTTTGTTTACACGTTTTCAACCAAAATAAAACCTTGCGATATAACGTAACATTGTTGTAGAACATTGCTGTGTAACAGCTAATCATAAGCTTGTTCAGAAATCGTGACAAAAACTTGATAATTAAAAATAACGTCTTTCTCATTAAACCTCATTTAAATAAACGAATATTTGAATATTCGTTTTTTTTATGAGCCCAAATATTCGATTGCAAAATTTTTGGAAAATGCCCATCCCTACTGGCAAAGTTATGGATTGGGATAAAGAAGTTTGAGAACCACTGCACTAGAGAAAAATGGGGCGTTTTGTCGATATAAATGTGTCTTGAGCATATGGGATGAATGAGATTAATTTGAAATCAAGTGGAAATTAAATAAATTGGATTTCCGAAAGCGCAAATGGACCCGCCTGCCTTCTCAATAGTCAACAAACATCTGTGCCAGAGTACATTGCAGCATCGCTTTGTCCATGTGAAGCATAATCAACATTGAGATCAATGGATTACAGTGTTTTCTGACGCACAGTAAACTCCAGTGTGTGGGTGGGAATTATCATTGACAACATTCATTGAACACAAATCCTTCCCAGCATGGCCTGCAGTGGCGCTGCTCTTTCACCTGTGTTCTGTCGCAGTTCTGAATGAAGCACTTGTGCGGTTGGATTGTTTACTATGCAGACGAAGGGCTTTTGGAGTTCCTGTTTTCTGCTTGCCTACTTGTCTGCGTCTCTGTGCGTGGCAGCTATCATCCCGCTGTGAAGTGGTTCTCTACCTGGTGACCAGGCAATGTGACGACGTTTACTTACAAACATATTTACCGATACGCCCTCTCTCTTCGCTTGCCAGCATCTCACATTGTGATTCTTGTTACAAAAGTGGTTTCTGGTAAAGGTTACCAAATAAAAATCAGTTTGTTTATGCAAATGAACAGTTTTTATGTACTGCATCGCCTTGAAAAGATATGCAGATCTGACTTTCAATACGATAACTCATTTTGTCAATGCAAAATGAATAAAACAATTAGCCAAAATTGGCAAAATGGTGATATAAATAACATGCATGGTTTTCTTTAATTGCATGTTGTTTCTTCGTTTTTCATTATTTTATAATAAGACTATGTCCTTTGTCCATATGCCTGGTTTTTGTAGCGTGTGTGAACTTAATTGATGTGTGAGTGTCGTTGCGTTTGTTGCTCAGCCGTCATGTATTTTATGTGCTTATGATACCATCAGTCCATGCGCAAGATACTGGCTATCTTTGGAACAAAATACTAGCATCTCTGCAGTATATAGTATGTATGCTGTGAATTTTCTGTATGCATAGAACACCCGGATGGCCTACTACATTTGCAGAAATGTTCAACATACAACCAGAGTGAGCTGTGTGGAATGCAGTATCCCACAATGCAATGCTTTGAACTTAACCTACAATACCATAGAGTGCCGCAGTGATGACATATTTTTGTAGGCCAAACTGGAAGTTAGCATTACCCTGGTTCCCTCAACAAAAATCTAATTGGATTTTTTCCATTGGATTTTGGATTATCGCAGAGAATAAGATGTGTCCTACCTGTGACCTACAAAAGGTTTTGTTCATCATGATAGTCTTTACAAATGAACACAACTTTTATGAATTTTGAAGCTTAAATACAACCACAAGAAGTGCAAAGCTAAACATTGTATGTAAAGGAACTACTGTCCTTCTTGATTCATTATTTGATTGGAATACCAAAAAATGTGGATTTACCTTTTTTTTTTTTTTTTTATTATTTAATGTCACTCCCTGAATGTAGCAACAATGTAGCATACTACAGTTTGAAGCATTTATTGTAGCATAATGGATGCTGTTTTGCAGTATAGTATGCAGTATACATAAACTGTGCAGTAAGTTAGTATTCCACTCCAAACACAGTCAACTACTGTAAAATATCAAACAGCACAGCCCATTAATCTATCCACCATTATCCATACAGCTAGAGCTTAAACAGATGTGATGATAGAATTAACATTGGGACAATGGACATGGAAGACAAATTCTCTTATTTTTACATTTAGCTTTTTGGTTTTATTTCTTTGTAAAAATGTAAAACGCTGTATTTTCTGTATATTTCATTTTCTTTGGGCATTTATGTGTGCATGTTTAAATATGTGTTTTGTAATTGTGCGTTTATGCGTGTGTGTGTGTGAGAGAGAGAAAGAGCGAGATAATTTTGTAAAGCTGATGAAGTGCGTGCTCCCAGCATGTATCTCATTCTTACACAGTTTTTCAAAAGGCAATGACTATGTTCGAAATAGCATACTACCGTACTACTCATACTATTCTTTCCAGTATGTATACTGTGCAAAGTACATGAATTTTGTGTGTGCATGGAATATTAAGACTTAATACATGTGCTGTATTGTTCATTATAGAGCAGCGCTCTATAGATACTATGCCCCACAATGCAATGTGTTCAACCTGACCTTTCATTTCAGTGTGACAAATGCACTGAAAGTAATATCAACCGTGATTTTCTTGACTTATTCTCATATCAGACTGAGAAAAAGCTACATTAAAAGTGCAATGTAAACGTATTTGTTTCAGAGAGATAACTAGATACCACTTATTTCAATTCAATTAAACATGCAATGCATTGTATAACATGTTCTCTTTAACATACTTAAAAATAGTAGGCACATTACAGTGTGTACTGTGCAGTATGCAAGAAGTATTCAAGAAGTACACTAGCATTCCATTTCGAACACAGTCACTGCATCTGTCCTCCTCGGGCCCTTTGAGTGTTTGCAGATGAGATATTTGTATCATATTTTCTTAGCTTGAATCAAGTATTGCTTTTTTAAGTATATATTTTTGCACTTTCAATTTGCATGGGTACAGACCCCATATGGGTTCAGATAGACATTAAAAAAACTAGATTGTGTTCTCTCTTCATAGATACTACGCTGATTTAAAATTGAATTAAAGCTTAATTTCATGAAAGGACTTCAGGAGTGTAATTTATTCCCTGTTACATCTATTTAGGAATCACATTCAAAATAAAAATGTATGTTCAAAAATATTGCTGTGTAGTTCATTAGAACAGTGGTTCTCAGCTGGTCAGTCGCAACTCAAAAATTGGTCTCTGGTCTGTTCTGGTAGGGTCGTTGATAGCAGGGAAAAACATGCTAAACACAAATAATAAGTTTCAACACTTGGTACTGTGTTGGGTCGCCATTTGTGTCCTGAATAAAAACCAGTTAAGAACCACTGTTTTAGAAACTAAAGTTTGCTTTGATAATTTGTATGTTATGGATGCCAAGCAGGACTGGACGTTCTTCAATGGAAATGTGAGGCTGATCTGACAGGAAATAGTCTTTACTATGACACACCATTCTCTTGGTGTACTGTAATCTATGCATGACCTCATTGATGAGCCCAGCCCATCTAGGGCTCTTGACAAAGCTTTGTGTATCTGTGCACTTTTTACTGTGAAGTGTGCATGGCCTATATCTGCTTAAAGGACTGACCTGAGATCAGTACATGTTGTAGTGATTCGTCATCATGAATGATCAGTTGTTATTGGCCTTGTGGTGATCTAATTAACATTCATTTACAGGCTATTGGACAACAAATGTTATTCAGGTTTTATCAAATACACTTGATTGTATATAAAACGTCTTCATTGAAAATGCCTGTCAAAAGCACATGAAACAATAAAGATGTTTAGAAGTAATGAGCAACAGCACGCATTATACCATTATAGTCAATGCTTTACTTATATCCCAGAGATTCACTGCATTAGATTCGAATTATGACTCAATTCATGCAACATCAATCATTAGTCAAAACAATTGTTAATATTATTAAAGTTGAGTGGTTAAAGTTGGAGTTGTTGGATGCTATTTTGATGTAAAAAAAAATGTCACTGCTTATGTTTAAATTCAAAATTCCATTTCAGAGTTCTGTGTTTTTGCAATTAACAAAATGCATGATATGCAAATAACAGAGTGGCTGTCTAGTAGGTATGTGTAAAGCCAATGGGCCTCTTTATGAAATGTGATCTGAATGAATTTTATACAAATAGTTGTGAAGTTGTTCTGACATAAATTTTCAGATTTATGAAAGTGTTCGTATTTTCAAAATGTTAGCTGCTACAAACAAAATTTATTCGGCACATGGCCATTCGGCACATTATACACTGACCATTTGGCAATACACTGAAGCCAAACCTGAGAAGGGAGTCCGGAAGATCCCACAGCGTTCCAGTATGCGTAATTCACGGGTGAGGATTATTTTAGTTTTGAATGAGCATTCATGCGTTGTCTATTTACAAATGACTTAACATATACATGTTTAACTATCAAATCAGAGGTTTGCAAAGTGTTTGTCAATCTAGAGGAGATTTTTCAGGAATGCCCCTTTTTACATGCAAATTACTAAGAATTTACTAATAAATTTAGAAAGATTTCATGAATGAGGCTCAATGTGTGTAATGCTTGCCATGATTTTGCTAAATAGGGCATACTGTACCTGGATCCAATATCCCAGATAGTCCTGGAATAATTCCCGTCTACCATTTAGATCAGGGGTGTAAAATCCTGCTCCTGGAGGGCCAGTGTTCTGCAGAGTTTAGCTCCAACCCTAATTAAACACACCTAGGTCTTCCGGATTACTTGAAACTTCCAGGCATGTGTTTTGGAGCTGGTTGGAGCTAAACTCTGCAGGACAGTGGCCCTCCAGGACCAGAGTTTGACACATGTGATTTAGATTTTAAAGTTAGGTCTGGGGTTGGATCTTGGTCAGGAGTGTCCAATCCTGCTCCTGAAGGGCCAGTGTCCTGCAGAGTTTAGCGCCACCTACCAAAACACTCCTGCCTGGAAGTTTCATTTAATCCTGATTCAGGTGTATTTAATTAGGATAAAGCTAATTTAATTAGGATTAAGCTAAACTCTGCATGATAGTGGCCCTCTGGGAGGAGGATTGGACACCCCTGGTTTTGAACAACATGCTTATCATTTCTCTATGATATTAGGGTTAGTTTATGGTTACATTTTTTAGAAATTCAACAGATGATCACTGGCAGTGTGTAGGTTGAGAATTGCTAGTGGTAGGGATTAGAATTTAAAGGTTGGATAGTGGTTAGGGCTGAAGGTTAAGATCCAGAGTCTTGGGAATAAGAGTCAAGGTTAGAAGTAGACATTGGAGTTAAGAGTTAAACTGAATCTTACAGGTTAGGGTTAAGAATAGGAGGTAGGGCCATGAAGTAGACATTCAAGGGGGAAATTCAGTTTGATTTGGCAGATATTCTCATTTGTGTTCCTGCAGATCTACCTTCCTTCAAATTTCAGTGACTCTAGCACACCTGTTTGCAATTATCAAGTGTTCCTGAAGATCATAAACAGCTGGTTCAGGTGTAATTGATTAAGATTGTAACAAAAATTTGCAGGAGGATAGATCTCCAGAAACTGGAATGTGTAAACCTGGTTTTAGGGGTTCGGATTGGGGTTACAGCTAGGGTTAGGACGGGGGCCAACCCTGCTCCTGGAGGGACACTATCCAGTGGAGTTTAGGTTTAACTCTAGCCCTAATTAAACACACCTGAACCAGCTAATTAAGGTCTTTAAGATCGCTAGAAACTTTCCAGGACAAACTCCGCAGGAAAGTGGCTCTCCAGGAGCTGGATTGGACCCTTGGGTTAGGAATAGGCTTCAGAACTGTTGATAGGAGCACATTCTAACTGGTAAATTCAGTCACCTTGAATAATGTTCAGTGTTCCTCTGAATTACACCACATAGTTTTATTGGCTATTTATTAGACCCATTTTTCATCCTTGTTTACACGTAAAGCAAACAACAGTATGCATACAAGAATTGTACAAAACATCTGTAACAACTTTGGATCTCACTTTTCTGTAATAAAACATTGTATGTATCTTTTAAATTAAATAGTTCATGTATTCTTTGACTTCATTGAACTTTTTTTTTTATGTTTATGTGACCAAGGTCAAAAAGTTAAAGCTTTGCTTGAAATTGACTAGTTTCATTATGGTCATTAGTGTAACCGCTATTCTTGACCTTCTCCTCCATTTTTATGACACCTTCCTTGTCTGGATGTTTCTCCCATGCCTTACCAAAGTCTCCCAAATCCTAAAAGAAGCAGAGAAAGGTTCATTTTGCATCCAAAACACTCAAATCCACAGTCTAAATCAGGGGTGTCAAACTCAATTCCTGGAGGGTCGAAGCCCTGCAGGGTTTAGGTTTAACCCTAATTAAACACAACTGATCCAACTAATCAAGTCCTTCAGGCTTATTTGAAAACTACATGGTATGTGTGTTGGAACAGGGTTGGAACAAAACTCTGCAGGGCTCTGGACCTCCAGGAATTGAGTTTGACACCCCTGGTCTAAATGATGCTCTTTACCTCTTTGTCTTCACTAAAGTCTGCGTGTCTGAATCGTTCAGAGCAGAAGCAGATGACGTCCTTCATTGATTGAGTCAGTCCTGGCTTTACCTTTCCATTGGCCATTTCCATTGGCAGACAACAGAATGACAGTTTTACAATACCTTCTCAACATAAATCCTTCCTCAGTTCAACCAGACCATTTTTTGAATCAAAAACTGGTTCCTCCAGAAAGGTTAATGTTTCTGATGTCAGTGTAAAATCATTAACAGAATTGCCCATAGCAGGGGCGGACTTACCCATTAGGCAAAGGTAGGCGACTGCCTTGGGCCCCCAAAAGCCAAGGGCCCTCTAAAATGCTTTTCATATACGAGATGCGCATTAAGCGTGGACACTCGAACGGTTGCTGTTTACGGTGTTTATTACCACGACAACCATCTGCATGTCCGAATTTAACATGCTTCTTGTGTATCCTGCTTGTAGCAAATGAAAATATCATGCATCCGAAGCTGTAATTAAATATTGAGCAACAGTGCATATTACATGTTTATCATTTTAAATGCCGCTTACTCATTTATGAGAAGTACCAAAAAAGAGGACGCATATGCACTTTTTTGGTTGATATAATCCTTAGATGTGTAAATGTATAATTTCCTTTTCATTCTTTTTTTTTAGTTTCATTTAAATTTTTAGTTAAAATAAAAATAAATGTATTTTCAAGTTTAGAATTAGACAGCCTTTGGAGAGTGAATGAGCCCAGGCACATAGGCTTATGCTGGTAACTCATCAGTGGACTTTCCTCGTCAGTATATTTTTTCACACTTTTCTCATTCTCACTAATTCAAGATATTATATGAATGAATCTCTGAAGGGAATGTCTTCAGAAAAGTTTTGATGGCATTTTAATTTTATCTGATAAAGTAGCGTTTATGAGCTGAACGCTGCTTTGTTTACAGACGTTACCAGGGAAACCGCTATATTTTTGGCGTTCCAAAAGTGCCTCCTGCTGGTAGAGAATTAATGTTCATTTTCAATAATCCCGTCTGCAGTTTTTGTTTAGACCAAAAATGCACACACATAACCCCGTTTTAAATTAATATAATAATTTATATTTCTGACTCATCCCTTTTCTTAAAAATAAAATGGTTTAAAGGCTCATTTATGAGGTTTATCGTTTTAGAATTTATTGTGTTTTTGTGAAAACCTGTATCTCAAATGTAAATCTATTGCTATTTCGTGGTCTACAACATGAAAGAAAGCCATTATAACATGTACATGAAAAATGTAGAAACATTGGACACAACTATGGGGCACCAATGTGCAGCAGCCAGCATCACAACAAGAAAGAAACCTCAAGGTTGATCTAGGTAAATGTGTGCAAATATATAGGGCCCCATTCCTATATTTTGCCTGGGGCCCCCAATTCACTAAATCCACTCCTGGCCCATAGTGTTGAGCAACTTGGCTCATCTAGTCACAGTGGATGATATGGATATGATATGATATGATATGATATGATATGATATGATATGATATGGACGAAGTAACACAAATGGTATGGCTGTATATGTATTCACATAATATGCATCTTAAATAACATACAAGATAATATTAAGTTTGGAGGTAGGAATACTCAAGACGTGTCATTCATGAGTGCTCCAAAATTTTGCAACACAGAACTTTGAATTCCAAGTTATCCGAAAAGCAGATTTAGTGTGTCCCAAATCAAAATATGTTTAAAATAGTATGCCAAATGTGTGAAAATGTCATTTCAGCGCAAATTCTCAAACAGCTAAAATAATGGCTTTCAAACCTACACTCTTCCCCCATCTGCCATTGGTCAAACAAACAGATAGTCCCACCCTAAAATCATGCCATTGGTTGGGCTGATGTTGCTGTGTCAGGCAGGGGTGCATTTCCCTGTACAACAACATAACTCGCTGCTAAACTACTATAATATGATGGAGAAATTATCTAGCTAGTCGTGACTGTTTCCCTAGGCTGTAGTTAATTTGTCACATATGTTCAAACCACGTTGATTTACCAATATAGAACTGTCATTAATTATATCTCACAGTGGTGGAGTAATAACTTCTTGAGCTAATAGCAGTTGCTATTGCTATAAATAAAGAACATGTCATATCAGTACTACTTCACTATTTCGCTTTGTTTAAAGATGTTTGATTCACTTGCATTTTCCTTCATACGTCATTGGTTCCCTCTGGGAACACGAGCACATTCATACATGGACACTCTTCAAAAGTCTTCATAACTCTTTGATATATGCAGCTCTCATGAGCTTCTGTGGTATGAATAGTCCCTTCAATGAGACCAGCAGTTCTTTCCATTGTTAGACTTACAGTCTATAACTCAAAGTGTTTTGTTGCTGCCAGTGTGTGATAGGATAGAGGAGCTAATGAAATGTTGCACTCACCCGTCAGCAGTGTGATGAGTAGACCTGCTGCTACAGTGCCAATAAAGCCCACTGCACTATAGTACAGATAGGACATGGAGTACCATGAATCAGCCAGCCAGTACCTGAACACAAGACCGAGATAATTCACATCATTTTAGAATGAAAGTGCATTACTACAACCTGATTACATTGTTCTTTTTTGGAATTATATTGTATTATATTATATTATATTATATTATATTATACAAAAAAAATGAATTTATTCTTATAGATAAAAGGGACAGAAATCCTGACTGTCAGAAAATGTTATGTTTTACTTCAATTTTACATTGGTCATTTTTACTCATCTGTGATCACTTTTATAGGATTTCCATTCTTATTTTATAGGATAACTGAGTGCACTCTTGTATCCCATGAAATGGTTTGACAAACAATTTTCTTTCCACAAAAGTGGGAACTTAAGTATGTTTTAAAGTATTCTGACTCTGGAGAATGGTACAATAATATCGCACCTGTCAGAGGTGAGAGCGCTCGTGGTGAATGATGTCTGGTTGGATCCATCAGCTGTAATGTTGAAGTTACAGCCTACAGTGGTGAGTTCGAGTGGACGTGTGTTATTGCTGGGTGCTGAATAAATGAAAGCCCCCACAACGAGAGAGTGATGCCCACGATCAGACCCCCAACTGCCCCCTAAAGAGAAAGGTCACAAATCACAGAGTATGTGAACAACATTAGCATCAGTTTTTATATTTTTTCCAAGAGTTTGTCTGATCTTGAATATTATACACACTATAAGTGCACATGCAAAGTGTTATATTGGTACATATTCTTAATATTGACATTCATTGTATATCTTGCATTTTCATGTTTTCTAAAGTGGGTTCTGCAGATAAATAGAAAAAAATGCTTACAAATTAAACTGAAAATAAAAGCTTTTTGTCTTAATAGACATATAATATATAGAAAAACAGTTGTGTGTGTGTGTGTGTGTGTGTGTGTGTGTGTGTGTGTGATAGACATATAATATATAGAAAAACAGTTGTGTGTGTGTGTGTGTGTGTGTGTGTGTGTGTGTGTGTGTGTGTGTGTGTGTGATCAACAGTTCAGTAGTTAAATATCAGACCTTCAAACATGTATTTTCACAAAATGTTTTGTGTGTAAATTATATGGTTCTAGCCCTTGCTTTAATTTAGAATGCCTCATAAAATACTAATGAAGGAATTTTTCAAACACCTTTCCAACAATTACCATCTATAATATTTTAAATTATAAAATGTAAAATTAGTGGTATTTACTATTAAACATTAAATACTACATTTGATATATGAGCAAAACGTCACTTCAAAGAAATTACAGTTCAAAGATGACAACCAGTGCTAATGTCATTGGTGAATGAGATGCAAAAAAAATAAAAAATTAACAATTTAAAATTTAGTTGCAGTTATTTTGGATGTTTCTGGTACTTCAGATTGGCTATTCTTTATTCTTTAGGGTTAGCGTTTTTTTAAACCTGTAGCCCTAAGTATGAAAATTAGGCACATCACACACCATTTGTGCATTGGAGTAGACCAGAATATCGGGCATAATGGTGGCGGGTTTTGCACAAGCAAGCAATGGAACATTACATAAAGGTATTTCTAATATCTGTTGTTTTTTCATTATGTTACCTCTTAATGTGGAGCCATATGGTTCATCAACCTCCCCTTGTTAAGAAGTACACTTAATAGTATTGAATGTGCACTTATAGTATACTTTATATCTTCAAAGTACTTAAAAAAGTACTTTAAAAAAATTATATATATATATATATATATATATACAGTATATATATATATACTTTTTAATATATATATATATATATGCTTGTCACTGCATTCAGCAGTACATTTTAAACATTTTAGAATTATGGAATTGCCTACTTAAGTCTTACTTATGTGGGTTAAAAAACACTTCTAGGTTGTGGTGCACACATGCACTTTTCAGTCTTGGCTGCCCTCATTTCAGTGACGCTACCCGAGCGCCAAGGTCCCCTTCTAAGATAACGTTGGACCCTGAGTTACAGCCGAAGCATCCCTGATGCATAAAGGGTAAATAAGGGAAGGTTGTGTCCTGCTGCATCAAGACCTCCTTCCAAGAAAGCTTGTTTATGCCTCCCAACCCCTGTCCAGATCTGGTGTTGGAGCATCATGTTAATGCTGGGTTCACCACATTAGATGTGCTTGCACCCACAAAATCCATTGCTGTTATAGTTGACAGGGTAATTTTCCTTTTCCCTGCAGCGCAAGTGTCAGGCTTGGGAAGCCATACCAGGCATATCGAGTCGGGTACTGCAAACAGTAGAATGAAGTTACTCGCTTGCAGATGTGATCCAAACTTCGGTACAGGACAATGATGGACATGTTGTCCGGTCCGAAGGGCAGAGTCTGCTTGCAAAAGGCACTGTGGAAATGGTTCCACCAGCGAATAGTGAAACAGGCTTTTACAGCCGCTACTTCCTCATTCAAGAACGATGGTGGTCTCAGGTCCCTCCTCAATCTCAGACACCTAAACCGTGCCGTAATGAAATGTCTGTTCAGGATGTTAACTTTGAAGCAGATCCTCGCACAAATATGCCAAGGGAGCTGGTTTTTATTGGTGGATCTGAAGATGCTTACTTTCACATCCAGATATGCCCCCATCCCAGACCGTTCTTGAGATTCACGTTTAAGGGGGTGGCTTATCAATATACAGTCCTTCCTTCGGACTGTCTCTGGCCCCACGCACTTTTACGAAGTGCAAAAACGCAGCTCTTTCCACAGAGACAGATGGGAATCCACTTTGTGAATTACTTCGATGATTGGCTTGTGTTAGCCGGATCAGAGTAGGAACTTCTTGCTCACAGGTCGCTGCTTCTCAGCCACCTGGAGCGCCTTGGGCTCAAAATCAATTTCGCTAAGAGCTCTCTGTCTCCCAGCCAGTGGGTCAACTTATTGGGAACAGTTATCGATTTAGCCCAGATGCGGGCCTGGCTCATTTCGAAACGCTCACTGACAATTCAGCGGCTAGCGGCATCATTCACACTGGGGGATTCTCGCCCCCTCAAGGTTTTCCAGAGGATGCTCGGCATCATGTCGGCCGCCTCCTCTGTGATTTCTCTGGGCCTGCTTTACATGCAACCCCTTCAATTCTGGCTCAAAGCCTGTGCACCGTCCCATACTTGCCGCCTGGGATGCTTTTGCCTCAAGATGACCCACCACTGCATCAGAGCCATAGCCCCTTGGAAAGCCCTCGCCTATATCAGACAGGCGTTTCTTTGGGACTGACCTCCGGGAAGAAAGGTAGTCACGACAGATGCCTCCAACTCAGGTTGGGGAGCACTGTACAAGGGCAGACCGGCATTCGACTCCTGGTACAGCCAGAAGCAATGCCTGAACTTCAACTGCCTCGAGATGAGGGTGGTTTTTCTGGCCCTAAAAACCTTCCTGCCAGCCTTGTCCATTCGGACAACATGACGGTAGTAGCCTTTATAAATTCAGAGGATGAGCAGGGTCCCAATTTACTCTGCCCAGTTCGGGCCCTTAGAGTTTACGTAAATCTAGCCACTTCACGCAATCAGAGCAGCTCTTTGTATGCTTTGGAGGCTGCTCTAAAGGGCTGCCAGTCACGAAGCAGAGACTATCCCGCTGGATAGTCCAGCGGAGTTTCAGTTTGTGATATCTGTGTGGCAGCCAGCTGGTCTTTGCCGTCTACCTTCACTAGATTTTATATCCTGGATGTCCCTGCCCTTCAGGCATGGATCTTGTCAGCTTAATCTCTCTGATCCCCTTGTGAGTGGAAAAGGTCTTAGTTATGCAGACCCCAGCCTCAGAACCTGGGTCTCATTGTTAGCTCATGCTTCTTAGGAGCCCTCATTGTGGGCGCTCCAGGGCTGGGCTCACAGAGCGACTTTGTTCTGCACTTATGTATAGCATGGCACTATTGGATGCAACCCCATAGCGTTTCACGCAACGCGAGAGACCGTTTTCGAAACGGAACTCTCTGGTTACTAACGTAACCTTGGTTCAGTATTCAGAGTAAACAGGAGTTTCCCATAGCATTTCACTAAATGCTCTTTCCCGTTATCTCTTTGCTGGTCAATCTATCATTCTTTGCTGGTCAGAGTGTTTAAATTCTACAATTTCTAGATCAACTTTATACTTTATACCGATACAACTTTGCTCACATAAAGGCTGAGCTGCTTGGGTTTTGCTTTGGTTCACTCCGCCTTTTGTTTGACCTACTTCTGGCAGTTAAAAGCGTCAGACCCTTCCTGGTAAAAATCAAGAAACCCAGTGACATGTTGCGCTTTCATTTCTGCCCGTATAAAGTGGCAGAATGAACAGACAGGCTCTTTTTTTTTTCATCTTGCTGTGACTCATAATGTTGTACTGATCGGCCAAGACAAATCTCTTTCAGTGATTAAATCTGCTCTTATGTCAAATGACAGAATCAATATTCTGATGATGACTGTATCCTCTTTTAATGTCCTGAAAAGGTTTGAAAACATTGGATGTATTTACACAGTGCTTTGCTGATCCAGTTGGCTGCTCGGTTGGACAGATCTCTAAAACACTGGCTCACAAAGTCCTCATACATCACCGTGGCCAAAGCATTGATACTGGCAGCTACTGTGCTGGAAAAGAGATACAGAACATGATGTCTCCTTTTATAGGTCAGTATTGCTCAGCTAAAAAATACATGAAAAAACAGTTAAAGTAAGTTAAAAAATGTTATTATTAAGTCAATTAAAGATTTCAAAAATGAAAATTCTGTCATTATTTACTCATGGAAATTTCTTTGAAATCAAGAAATTAATAATGTAAATTATAACTGTCTGGAATCTGTTTATTCCTCATGTTGTGTTCTTGTCATTCTTTTCCCCAAAAATTCTAGTTAATGTTATCGATCAAAAATGACTGGCCTACAAAAAAAAAAGAAAAAAAAGAAGCTATTTTTGGCTATCACTACCAAATTTTGGATTCAATCTTTTTGTCAACATGTTTTCAGTTTGCACAGGTTTTGTATTTATTTTTGGAATTAATTGGTCGTAGGCCTCATTGATCTGGTCGCTTCTGTTTTTGAGTGAACATTGCCATAATTATCAATCACTCAAAAACCGAGGAGTTCAGATCAATGAGGCCTACGATCAGTCAATTAATTTCAAAAAGAAATACAAAACCTGCGCTAATTGAAAACAAGTTGACAGAAAAATTGAAAGATCTAATCCGAGATTTGGTGATAATACAGCATAATGATAGATTTACAAGCAGTTTTTAAAAGGCTGGTCATTTTTGAACAGGAGCAAAGGATTTTCAGCACAAGGGTGAAATGCTGTACACGCACAAGTCCTAGTGTCAATGGTATATATCTAAATCTAAAGTCTATAAAAAAATAAAAATTAAAATACAAAAATCTTTGTAATTAAACCTTGCATTCAGGGTAATTTACTTAGTACATTTACTTATTAAATTTAAGTAAATTAATTTTAAAATTAAACTCTATTACAACATTAATTTATATTATCACATCTATTATTGTGAGCTTTGATGTGTAAATTGAAAATCACTGAGGGACTAAATGAACCTTACCTCAGCGTTCCACTGAACGCACATGTGACAAATAAGCCTGGCAGTCCTGGAAACGCACCGAGAATTTCCATCACAAAATATGGCATGAGCTGAGATAAAAATGGATACACTAATGTTAGGTTTGAGCAACAGTAATAGCAATGCTTACCTTAGCGAGTGCCACTAATAATACTGGTAAACGAATTACTTTGAACCGCTGACAAGAGACAGGTGGATGTTTTAATGTTTGATTCCGATGACGATATTATAGAGATTTATTTCAAATAGATGTATAGGGAGTTCATCACCTGGTCTGGAGCAGAGACCAATCCAGCCGACCAGGGGTCACAGCGAGAGTAGAAAGCGTACATGATCAGACCAGATACCACAGCACAGAACAGAATTATCCACAAACCCAGCAGATTCAGATACAGAGCCCTGAGAAACAAGAAAGAGGATTTTTATTAACTGAACTGGAAAAAACAAATGAAAAACTCCATAAGAGCATTTACTTTAAGTTAAAGTATGGGTACTGTGCCGAATTTCATCTGTCTTTGCAAATCTTTATTCTGTATCATGATGTACATACATGTGTAACGGATTATAAAAATATAGGGCTGTTGATTCAAAAATGGAGGCAGATGAACATGAGATTGCTTTGACTGAGTTTAAGCAGACTAAATCACCAGAGAAAAGTCTGTCATTTTAAATTGTACGAAAGTATTGAAAAGTAAAAGTTAACTATACTTAAAGTATCTTTAATGGACAAACTTTGTAAAGCAACCTGTATATTTTACAAAGTTCTCAATGTCCTGACTAGGTAAGATGCTATTTAAGAAGACAAGCTGAAAACAATTTCCTGAAACCTGTTAACTGCAATTTCATTGGCGTTTAAAATAAAACTTTGAACTTTTGTACTTTGAAGACATCAATTATATTTTAAGGAGAAAAAAAGTGATCTTTTCTTGGAAATGTATTTGAGTAGAAATATAAAAGAGTACAACTATTCATTTCAAACAGTATTCAAGTACAATTATGCATTTGATTTGGAAGCTACAAAGTGACTTATGTTGCATTTTCAGTTCATACATTTCTTGACATATCATTTAAGTTACAAGAACACAAGTGCAAAATTTCAAAAATTAAAATACAAATTTCACCAAAGAATGCTTCATTTTATAATTAATTTCAATTGCTCAAGTACTTCACACCACTGTTAACGATGAAGCACACTGATATGCAAAATGGCCAGATAAATGTATTTGTATAAATACATAAATGTTTTTATTTAAATGATTTGGTAATTACCAAATAATATTTTTTTAATCAAAATGAGTGACCAGATTGTGAGAAACTCAGACATTTCACAAGTTCGTTCACACAGTTCGTGTTTTCTCATGAAACACATAACTTAGCCTACTAGGTATCATGGAACAATATAAAAATTACAATATTATTATATATATTGTTAATATTGCTTAAATGTATTATTATGTATTATTATTATATACACTATCATAATCATAATTGCACAATTATAGTGAAACTTGCATCAGAATTCAGCAGCACTCGCCAATGTGCAGTAAAAAGTGCAGAAAATGCCAGTGGCAAATATGGATCCCCAAAGATCAAATCCTGTCACTGATGGGGATAAAAAATAAAGAGTCGTGTTTATAGTGTGTTCTGCATGAATGACTCCTAAATTTAGAGATGACTTTTATCTACGTCACAATAACAATAGAGACAGTCTAATTTAACAAACAAAACATATACATAAGTTACATAAGTAACGTCTCAGGTTACTTATGTAACCATGGTTCCCTTTTACCTCGCTGAGGGAGCACAACCCCAGCTCTCAACGAGAGGGGGCTCGACCTGCAGCATGATTGTAAATCAGAGGGGTAAGCATACTGCAAGCTAGCCAAACACACAGCGTATCAGGGAGGCAGAGGAAGGGCCTAATTGACCTGATGCTGCTGGTTCCAGGCGCTCTGGAGATCAGCGGTTAAAAATACCACGAACGTGTAGGCGACCCCAAAGATGACATACGAGGCCCCGTATCTGTACACATCTGACGGGGCCCCGATCACTGTGACCGCAGACATGAAACTGGCGGTGAGAGAAAGGGCCACCGGCCCGCAGGACATCTGACGGCCCCCGACCAGAAACTCTTTAGATGAGGCTTTCTTTCTCTCTTTGATGGTGAAGAAGATCCCGATACCAGAGGAGACCACAAACAGAAAGGCGAACACCACATAGTCCCCAACCTGGAAGGTGCCTACTGTGTGACTTTTGTCCATCATGTCTGACACAGAATCTGATCAAACTGGTAGTTTGGCTCCAGTATCTCTAGTTCAGACACCTCACATGTGAATCATGTCAATCATTGTGTTTTTAACAGGTTAAAAATGCTTATGAGTCAAGACGTGGGGTGAGGGGTCATATTAGTCATTATATTACTCACATTTGTCCTCAAGAATTACCTTCCATGATCCAATTAAACCATACTAATAAGCAAAAACGAACATCCTATTCTTCATGCAATCCAGAATGGCAACACATTAGAAAGGTTTGAGCTGCACCCTTTACTCATTTCATTTTGGGTGTGGAAGAGCTTTTACATTTGCCAAAAACAGAACTTTTTTTTATATTAAAAACAAACCAGTAAGCCGAGCCCAGATGAGAAAAAGTAAAGCAAAGTAACATAACTAATTAATGCAATTAGTTATTTTTAGGGATTAACACAGTATTACAATGCATTACTTTTAAAAGTAATTTTCCCCAACACTGACTATATTATATAATATGAATACATAGGATATAAAGGATATGGTGTCTGTCAAAAAAAGGTGGTATATTTTACTTGTGCAAAACCTAGAATGTGGTTCATTATTACTCTCACTGATGATGATGATTAACTGGTGATGTGCTTTAGTGATGTTTGTAATACTTTGTCATCCGTAAAACTCTCTCATGTGTAGTTTACCCTGATAAGTGCTGACAAAGTGTTTTCATAGAAGGCTGTTTTTGCTTTTTAGTTGACAGATGTGATCGTTAAAAACTTGGGAAATGGAATCAAATCCATTTGCACTGATGACCATCACAAAAGTAGAAGTTTATATTATATTATATTATATTATATTATATTATATTATTATTAGGGTGCCAATAAAGTGCAACACTTTCTGACCATTTGTTAATGCCATTGTTTTTTAAAATATGATTCATAGGATGAAGTTCATGCTGATTCGTTGAACAAACTATTTTTTTAATGTACTTCATATCATTATAGTGTATATTATAATGTTAGTTGATCAATTATAAATTACGTATAATATAATCAATCAGAGTTATTGCAAAGTGATGTCCAGATATGCAAAAAGCTAAGTTTAAAAACGCTTTCAGGCTGTGTTTATGAGTGGAGAGGCGCAGCGCGGTGTAATTTGAGCGCGTAAAAGCGCGTCGGACTCAGATTACAGCCTGAGCGTCTCTTCTAGTGCGCATACTCATATGAAGGATTCCAGATGTGGACATCATCCCTGTCAGGTCAGTCAAACCTTCCGAGTGGACAGGAGATATCTAGCATGTTACCTTTCGCCCTTGGTCTGTTTTTATTGCCGCTCTGCGGTGCGGTCTACAAGGGACCTTTGCTCCCTGAAATGTCCAACGGGACTTTTCACCACTTTTTCGTCCCGGACGGTGATTACGAGGAGACCGAAGACCCGGAGAAATGTCAGATGCTCTTTAAATGGATCGACCGCAGACCGTGTCCTCTGGAGGAAGACCAGGACTCGGTCATACGAGAGGATTTCATCATCATTAAACAACAGATAGAAGACGCAGCGCGCGTTCTGGAGAGCCTCGGGAAGAGCATTTCCTACGACCTGGACGGCGAGGACAGTTATGGGAAATACCTGAAGAAGGAGATCGTGCAAATCAACGAGGCTTTTACAAACGTAGAGAAATCTCTTCTGGAGCTGGAGACGAAATTCAAGCAAAGCCAGGATACCGAGCAAAAAGAGGAGAATGAGTTCACCAATAACTTTATCAACCCCATGTATAATGTGAGGGACACTCTACAGGAAACTCTGGACATCTCGTCTGGACTCAAGGATAAACATGAACTCATCTCTCTGATCATTCGGAGTCATGGATCCAGGTTAAGCCGGCTTAAAAATGACTACCTGAATGTTTAGAGTCACAGACATTCTGGACAGACTACAGTCCAAGTTGGATTGTTATTCTGAAGTGTGTTAAACGTTGGATCTCCAAAATTTCCCAAAGCATGTAACTCTTTGGTGGTTTTGAGTACTAAAGGCTCATTCACTCTTAAAAATAAAGAGCAGAGAACCAGGATTTTCATAGAGTATATATATATATATATATATATATATATATATATATTTGGAGATTTACATTTTTTTTATTGAGGCTTCATTATGCGTTCATAAGTCTATTGGTTTCTAATTTTTGTCTCTGGACATTGTATGCAAACATGATGTTAAGAATGTGTATGCCTTTTTTGATCGCATAGATAGTTGCATAAATAAATTGTTATAGCCACCAGTGAAAGAAATTGGCATTTTATTTACTGTAAAAAATAAAATGTAAAAATTGATCCAAGTCAGAAATATGATTTAATAAGATTTAGTTAACCTGATTATAAACAAGCTTCATTTTAAATGCAAGATCAGGTAGAAATAGCACATTGAGCACCAACTGTGGTTTCACTTCTTAGGCACTCTCAGACTGAATACCTTACACAGATTTTTTTTATGTCAAAATCTGTTATTCCTGTAATCAGTCTGCAGTAGACTGGTCTTTTTCAGCTGTCTGTGTACTGCTGACATTCATTTTGGATGATTGAGGTTTGAGGAAGCTGGAAGGGTGGTGGTTAAACAAGCTGGTTGAGATTTGGCATTTCCTGTGCCTTTAGAACAGAACGTCTCTTTCTCTTTCTGCCATGTGGAAGAATAATCAAACTCTGCAGCAATATACAAAGAAACACAATCTACCATTCCTACTGCCAACTCCACCAGAATGCTGGGATATTTGCTGGTGAACAGTTTTAAGGTTGAACTGTAGACCATCCATTAACATAAGTCATTACTCATGATCAAAATTACGCTGAAGCATACAGCATATTATAAACCACACATTCATAAGCTAAAATATTGTACCAAAAGCACTGTGCTGTTGCTGCATGTTAATTTCTAACCAGAACAACGAAGTACTTATATATGTTTTCTACCCACAGTCCCCTGGGCTGGAACTGTTTTCTTTTTCTTCCTCACATTCAGTTTTATTCTTGCTGGAGGTTAAAGCTCAAGGAAAGAATGTCTTTACTAATGGTTTTGTGTTACCAGATCTGAGCCTGTTCAGTAACATCTCATATGGATCCAGTTTCAGTGGTTTTGTGGCAAAAAGAGGAATAAACAACAAAAGCAAAAAAAAAAAAATCTAGATTTTTTTCTTGATGTTTATCTTAAGTAAGATACTAAAGGAAGCTGTCAATATGGAAGGAATATCTGTCAACCATGACCATATAGTTGGAGTTTGATTGATGTATTGGTTTTGTTAGATTTCCAGTGAACATCCTTAGAGTTTAAAATAAAAAGATATCATATTCTCATCTCAGCTTTCATGTGCCAACTGCTATAAATTACATTGGAAGTGTGTGTGTGTGTGTGTGTGTGTGTGTGTGTACTCCCTAGTATTCCCTATACATAATGTCTGCACAAGGATAGTAATACCAGTAAATTTTATCCTTGTGGGTACTTTTTTTTTTTTTTAGGTCCCCGTGAGGAAATAAGCTTATACATCATAAAGAATGAAGGGTTTTGAAAATCAAATGAATGCAGAAAGTTTTGTGTGAGGGGTAGGTTTAGGGTAAGAGGATAGAAAAACAGTTTTATTTTGTGACGAATGTGAATTTATTTTATGATTGAATATGTATTGAATTTCTGCACATGCATCATTCCATCATTTCCCTGGGTAATGGTTTTGTCTGTCTTTTCTTGTTTTCATTTATGTTAATCGACTTTACTTTGAAATGGAAAATTCCTATCTTTTTCTCTTGTCTCTGTTCATAGATCCTTCCCCAGACGTAGCAGCTGCATCTGAAATTGCATACTGTCAGTGTGCTTTCACTGTCATTCGAAGACTTGCTTTGTATATGTTCATCATCTATGTTCCATAAAGTAGACATGCTAATCCCTATCATTTACAAATAGGACAACCCTTCGCCTGTGTGAAAATAGTATGCCTAATTTTAGGAATACTGCCTATTTGGATGTACTGCTTATAGTGATTTTGCCTAGTATAGGTAAATTCAGAAGCGTTCTAGGCCCACTGATCAAGTCACGGCTGCCGCAGTTTCTGACCAACTCTCAGCCAGCCCCAGGTTTCCTGTCTCGGTTGAGCCTGAGACTTCTCATGTCTCCAATCATGTCACAGTTCAGATAATGATACATGGGGCAATGTTGCCAAGCGATGTTCTTTGGGCACTTTCCCTCTGAGAATGGGCAACAAATTTCTATCTGGAAACTTTAGATCGGTCGTGGACCCTGTGTCTCACCTGGTTGTCTGTTGACGGCTACATTGCCCAGCAACATTGCTCAAAAAGTTGACCTGTAGGGCTGGATTGCCGACAAGGGACATAATATGTGATCCCAGAATAACATAGGTTTCATAGACAATTGGACGAGTTTTTGGGGCAGACCTGACCTGTTGAAAAGAAATGGTCTTCATCTCTCCAGGGGTGGTGCCACTCTTCTCTCTAGAAATATGGCACATAGTCTTAGAGTTTGTACTTGACTAACTGGGGCCCAGGTCAGGAAGCAGACAGACTGGCTAAACCGACCGTCTGCTAGCCGCGTCACGTCACAGAAATCAGTTAATTCTCAACACATACAGATTCTTTCACCTAGATATCATACTATAGAGACTGTGTCTGTGAAAATACAAAAAAAACATCCAAAACTGGCTACTGTACTGTATTGTACTGGCTACTGTGATTTTAATATCCATGTTGATAATAAAAAAAGATGCATTGGGATCAGCATTTATAGACATTCTGAACTCAATTGGGGTTAGACAACACGTATCAGGGCTTACTCCTTGTCATAATCATACTTTAGATTTAATACTGTTGCATGGAATTGATGTTAATGGTGTTGAAATTCTGCAGCAGAGTGATGATATCTCGGATCATTATCCAGTCTTCATATAGCTAAAGCTACAAATTCAACTCCTTCTTACAAAGACTGCTTTGTAAATAATCTTCCTGACTTGTCTCAATTCCTCAGCATATCCAATAGCTCAGGAAAACTTGACGGTGTAACAGAAACTATTGACTCCCTCTATTCTAGCACTTTAGATACGGTTGCTTCTTTACACTTAAAGAAGATTAAGGAAAACAGTCCGACACTGTGGTATAATGAGCACATTCGTGCCTTAAAGAGAGCAGCCCGGAGAATGGAGCACAGCTGGAAGACAACAAAACTAGAGGTATTTCGTATTGCATGGCAGGAAAATAATTCTACTTATAGAAAAGCTCTAAAAACCGCTAGATCTGCTTAGTTTTCGTCTCTCTTAGAAGAAAACACAACCCCAGACATTTATTCAAAACAGTGGCTAAATTAACGAAAAATAAAGCATCAACAGATGCAGACATTCCCCAACAGCACAGCAGTAATGACTTTATGAACTTCTTTACTTCCAAGATCGATACTATTAGAGATAAAATTCTTACCATGTAGCCGTCAGCCACGTATCGCATCAGATAGTGCACTATAGATACCCTGAGGAACAATTCCACTCATTCTCTGCTATAGGACAGGAAGAATTGTACAACACAGAATTTTTAATTATTGGACCAAAAACCTCCGCATGTAATAACCTAGAACACTGTCTAACACTTAATGGCTGCTCTGTTAATTCCTCGCCATCAGTTAGGAACCTAGGTGTGCTATTTGATAGCAATCTTTCCTTTGAAGACCATGGGTCCTATTTTAACAATCTAAACACATGGTCTAAAGCGCACGGCGCAATTGCGCTTAGGGCGTGTCCGAATCCACTTTTGCTAGTTTAAGGATGGGATAAATGGTCGGTGCGCCCAGAGCATGATTTAAAAGGGTAGTCCCTATTCTCTTAATGAGTAATGGGTGTTTTGGGCATAACATGCCATAAACCAATCAGAGTCTCATCTCCCATCTCCTTTAAAAGCCAGTTGCGCTCGCGCCATGGCGGGTTCGAAATGGTCTTCATCTCTCCAGGGGTGGTGCCACTCTTCTCTCTAGAAATATGGCACATAGTCTTAGAGTTTGTACTTGACTAACTGGGGCCCAGGTCAGGAAGCAGACAGACTGGCTAAACCGACCGTCTGCTAGCCGCGTCACGTCACAGAAATCAGTTAATTCTCAACACATACAGATTCTTTCACCTAGATATCATACTATAGAGACTGTGTCTGTGAAAATACAAAAAAAACATCCAAAACTGGCTACTGTACTGTATTGTACTGGCTACTGTGATTTTAATATCCATGTTGATAATAAAAAAAGATGCATTGGGATCAGCATTTATAGACATTCTGAACTCAATTGGGGTTAGACAACACGTATCAGGGCTTACTCCTTGTCATAATCATACTTTAGATTTAATACTGTTGCATGGAATTGATGTTAATGGTGTTGAAATTCTGCAGCAGAGTGATGATATCTCGGATCATTATCTAGTCTCGTGTATACTCCATATAGCTAAAGCTGCAAATTCAACTCCTTGTTACAAATATGAACCATCACTTCTACCACAAAAGATTGCTTTGTAAATAATCTTCCTGACTTGTCTCAATTCCTCAGCATATCCAATAGCTCAGGAAAACTTGACGGTGTAACAGAAACTATTGACTCCCTCTATTCTAGCACTTTAGATACGGTTGCTTCTTTACACTTAAAGAAGATTAAGGAAAACAGTCCGACACTGTGGTATAATGAGCACATTCGTGCCTTAAAGAGAGCAGCCCGGAGAATGGAGCACAGCTGGAAGACAACAAAACTAGAGGTATTTCGTATTGCATGGCAGGAAAATAATTCTACTTATAGAAAAGCTCTAAAAACCGCTAGATCTGCTTAGTTTTCGTCTCTCTTAGAAGAAAACACAACCCCAGACATTTATTCAAAACAGTGGCTAAATTAACGAAAAATAAAGCATCAACAGATGCAGACATACCCCAACAGCACAGCAGTAATGACTTTATGAACTTCTTTACTTCCAAGATCGATACTATTAGAGATAAAATTCTTACCATGTAGCCGTCAGCCACGTATCGCATCAGATAGTGCACTATAGATACCCT